TTGCGAGTGTGTGGCAATGGGACAGCAGCAACAGCAGCAGCAACATCCAACATTAGCCACAACTCTTAGGAGAAACCATCATCATCATCAGCATCGGCAGGCAAAAACAATTTAAATTTTGCGCTTCAAATCATTCGGTGTTTGATTGCGTGCAAGATGAGCTGCTTGCCTGGGCTCTTCATTTGCCTGATTGCGTCAGCTGGAAATTGGCAGCAACAACAGTCGCAGCAGCAGCAGCAGCAACATTCCCGCCCCAGCAGCTGCACAATGGTTAAATAAATGGCAGCATTGCCTGGTGTTTACTTTAGCGGCCCACTGTTTTTCGGCAGCGAAATGCAACTATAAACACTAGAAATACTAGCAACATCAACAGCAACAGCAGCAGCAGAAACTGCAACTGCGGCAACAATCGCATCATCAAGCCTTGCCGTTTGCTGCTATTGAACTTTTGCTATTTGGCCAAGATTCCCACACACCTGCTGCCAGGTTGTTGTTTATTATTTTTTTGTTTTTTGGTGTTGCAGTTGCCGTTGCTGCTGCTGCTGCTGCCACCCACTTGCAGCGTGTGAAACGCTGCACAACTTTTTGTTCAAGGCGTGACACGAAATTTGGTTTCAAGTACGTTCGCCCTAATGCAACAATGAGTTACAGTAAACCCTCGATAAGTCATCAAAAAATTACATAAAATATTAGAGTTGAACTTACATCGATATTTATCGATTTAAAATCAAGGTTTTGGTCTAAAATATATCGTTTATTTTAAAACTCTTTTTTTTATAATTTTAATTTGAGTTTCAGAATTTATGTAAAGCTTATAAGCTTATAAAACATAATTAAAAATATTTTCATTTAGATTTCAATAAATTAAAAATCGAATTCCTTTAAATAATCGATATCTTTGCGATAACCTAGGCATTTGGGTGAAATTAAATTTAACTAAATTATATTTTATGAAATTAAATATAACGTATATAAAAATGAGTTCTTGAATTTAAAAGCTCATATATATTTATGAATAAAATATAAATACGAAAAAATTAATTTTAATAAAAAAAAAAATATTTTATCCTTTAAACAACCTCAGAATCTCTATATTAATTTTTTAAAATTAAAAATCATGTTTAATTTAAGCTAATAAAATAATATAAACTAATTGAATGTTCACTCTTAAAGTTGCCCACTGTACCGGCACCCAGGGAATGGGGTAAATGACCGCTGTTGGCGGCAAAAATTGAATTGTTTTGCATAAATTGATGTTTCGCCGTGTTGCCGTTTCAATTTCAGTTTCGCTTTTGGTTTCGGTTTCAGTTTTTTTTTGCTTTTTTTAGCTTTGCTAGGGTTTATTATTATTTTTTTCCCTTAATTAAAGTACTTTTAGCACCACCCTGTCCCACCCAAAAAGGGAAATAAAATAAGAAAATATCAAATATAAAACAAATTTAATTTATAAAAAATATACATATATACTTTTCCCGCAGTGCACCCCTCTAGCTCTTCTTGACTCACCAAGCTTTCGGCTTGCCCACGCTTAGCAGCTGCCAAAAGAAGCCAAAGGAGACTCCAACTCCAACTCCGAGGTGGAGGTGGAGATGGAGCCACAGCTGGCGGCCCAGCTGCCACTTCTTGGAGTCTGGCTGTGGGAGGAGACAGAGGAGTTGGAGCGGGTCTAAACTGGATTGAATGGGCGCGGCCTCAAAGGCAGCCATCTGCGGATCATCTCCTCCTCATCTTGCCACAGCGAAAGTTGCAGCAAAATCTAGGCACTGGAGGATTCTAGAGCATGAAACAGGGCAATGACATATACCCGTTGCTACCCTGGAGATGGCTCGATCTGGCGGTGAATTAAGTCACCTCTTGACTCTGCCGAGTTTAAGTGCTACATTTTTGTGACGGCAATCACATTATTTATGCTTCACCTCGCTTGTATCTCGGACATCATGGCCATAAAGATCATTCTCGTTCTCGTAATTAACAAGTTAAATAAAATGTATATAAATATATAACATAACTTGCTTTGTTTTTAAACCAACTTCTCTCTTAGTCTCTAAGGGTTCTTGGGAAATTCTTCAAGATTTTTATAGCAATTATACCCTAATTACCTTTAAAAAAAAATCTAAGCAAACGTTTACTTTACGCTAATTTAGCAACGGTTGCCAGTGGGTTAAGTTAACTTGGCTAAAAAGGCCTATCCTAGGCTAAGCCACAAAATGCCAGCCGAGAGTAGAAATCCCAACCAGTCCAAGAGTCGCCGTCCTTCTGTCCCCTCCAAACCAAGAGTCCGTTTCTACGCCAAGTCCGCCTGGCAAAAATGCCATCTGAGGCTAACTGGGCGGCGAGGCGAACTGGTTGCCCAGGCTGGCGGTTGCTACAGAGAGAGAAATGTTCAGAGATTTTTTAAAGTATTAAAAGATTAAAAAAAAATGGTTCCTTTTTTAAAAAGATAATTTTTAAGAAGCTTTTTAGGAGTTTTTTTCATTTATTTTTTCTTTTTAAAATTGTTGAAAAATATATTTATTTATACATTTATTAAAAAATTATTAATTATAACTAATGTTTGACTTTTTATATTTGTTAAAAAAATATTTTGATTAACAATTAACCAAATTTATTAACAAATTCTTATCCATAACAAATTTTTACTGGAGAAGTAGTTGTTCCTAAGGTAAAAGTCTTTACTTCTTTGCCTTTTCAGCCGTCTTTTTTCTGCTTAAAATTTTATTCTCCGTTTATTTTTTATATCTTTATTAAATAATCAAATATTTTGCATAGCAAAATTAACTTAAACTAACTGGCAAATCAATTTTTAAGAGGCTTAAAGGCGGTCTCTTTTAAAGTAAAAGTAAATAAAATATTTTTGTAAGATCCATAAACCTCTAAAAATTCTCTAGATAATATCCATTATAGTCCTAAGGTTTTTTTTTAATATATATTTCTTATTTGAATAAATAAAAATATATTTAAATAAATTTTTTTTTATTTATTTATATAAATTATAATAAACAAATATTTAATTTTTAAATAAATATTTATTTAAATAAATATATATAATTTATAATAAATATTCATTTATTATAATTAATACCTAATTTCTTCCGTGTAATTCCAGCTGGTGGCGCGGTGGCTTGAATTACAAAAAGGAGCCAGCCTGGGCAACTGTTTTTTCCCTCTTTGCTTTTTATTATAATTTCAATTTTGTGTATCTATGAGATACGCGCAACGTGAATTGGCATTTTCCATTTGGCAATTTGCATAGGCAATGCAAAAATGCAAAAAAAAAAATCTACAAAAACTCTACGAAAACTCTGGCTGGACCAAACTTCCCCCCCAAAGAGCCTGGAAAACTGTCCGGGTAATTAAAGCTCCATTAACGCCCCATCATCATGGGAATACCTCGACGGGATTGGGTTTGGCTTGGGCTTAGCTGATGCGATAGTGATGTGGATGACGATGACTAGGCCAGGAAATGCAATTAACCCACAAGCCGTGGCCAGCGTCATTCGAAAGTCACCGTTCCAGACTCCGTCTCCGTCTTGGCTTGATTTTCCTTTAGGACTGTAGTATGTATTTTCCTCAAGGGGCTGGGAAAGGGAACTCTCTGTTTGCTGTTCAAAGTGTGCCTGTGCCTGTTATTGTTAATGTTGAATGTTATTGTTATTGTTGCCGACGGAGCCACCACCGCAGGCTCGGGTCGTGGCCAGGTGGCTAGCCAGGTGAGTGAGCCAGCGAATGAATGTGTGTGTGTGTGTGTGTGTGTGTGTTTGAGTGCGTCTCGAGTGTCCAAATTGCTGGCGGGGAATTGCATAAGCCAGCCCAGGCTGCAATGATCAATCAGGCAGCAGACCAATCGGCCAGCCAGTTCATCAATCATAACGAGCCGCACAGCTAATACTGATTACAAATCGACGAATGGGAGGGGGCTTCCTTAAACTATGTCCCAGGGAGGAGAGGTAACGTAAGATAGTGTTTTCCCAGGATGGATTTTTGGATTTTGAAAACCTCTTTTCTTTGAAAAATGTATTTTAAAGTTTTTAAAGAAGAAAGAGAGGGGTTTTTCCTAGAGAGATTACAGATTTAGAAACAATTTTCCATAAAATATATAAAAATATTAAAAAAAAACTAATTATCTCAAAATATTTAACCAGACACTAAGTATGTACTACAAATGAATATCTTAATATCTTTCTTTCAATTAAAAACTCATTACTTAGTAGTTCTTGGCTTTATTCATACAATTCCCTAAGCTCGTTGGATTCACGAGTGACACAAAGGCAACACCCCAGTGAGAACTTTCTTTGCAATGAACTCTAAAGTATTTAGAGCAAATCAAACACGAAGATATTTACGGGGCAGCCTCAAAATAAACGAAGAATAACAACAAATAACAAACAGTTGAAGGCCGGGACTAAGATGACAATTAACGCATTATTTATTAATATCTGAAAATTGTGTCGCCCGTTAAGCGGCTTACCAAATTGACGGCTACCAAGACGACGACAATAATAATAAAAATAACAAATAACAGAAAAACCAAGGCATTCAATTACAATTTCAAACGCAAGAGCCAAAATACTCAAAGAAATTGTGGAAAATGTAATTTAAGAAAAGCTGCTTAAATATATTTCTTTATTAATATTTTTTGGTAATAAAAAAAGATTACTTTGTATTAAATTAAATAATTAAAATTTCAATTTCATTATTTTTGATCAAAATAATAATTTTAATTTTGTAGAATATAAAAAGTAGGCTTTTTATTTAAAAAAAAAATTTTTTTCTTCAGAATACAAATATTTTACAAATATATTATAAATTATTTATATTAAAAAAAATGTTAGAGTGCAAGAAGGCCTAAAAAATCTAGCAAGTTCTATTTATTTTCAATATTTTTAAATAAAAATAAATCAATTAATAAATTCCTTAATTTTTACTTGTCTTAAAGACCTAGTTTTCGTTCTGTGTACTTTGTGGTGGTGCAATTTTTCATAGTTTTTTTGTTTTCTTACCTCATTTGCGGTGCGGGCGTCTCAAGAAGAAACCAACAGAAGAGCCAGAAGAATTCTCCACACGAAACTTGGCAATTAGAGCGCGGCAACAATAACAACAATAACACACACACACACACCCACAACACATACACCGACACAGGCTGGCAAAATTCTTGCAGAATCTCCGCGAATCTCGAAATAGCAAAAACAACAAAAAATAAAGTCGCACCGCTGCACTTTACACTTTTGTGGCTTGAAGCGCGCTCAGGTGAGACAGGTGCACGAGCGCACTTTCAGCACTTTCGGCCGCTCCGCTCCGTTCGATATTCAAAGTTAACACACTTTTAAAAAAATAAGGAAAAATGCAAGCACCTGCGTTTTAAAAATGTATATCATTTACATTTAACTGTAAGCCGGCACGAAGATTTACGGAGCGGGCTTTTCTTTATCCGCGGAAAATGCAGCAAAAGGAAAGGAGGGGGGTTTTCCGCACGGCCGTGTGAAGCTTTCGAGAGGCGGCAAACAAGTGAGGCAGCTGCCACACACCAAAAGTCGGCGGTCTGTTGCGGTTGTTGTGACTGCAGAAGCGAGAAATACCAAAATTGGTAAGACCTTCCACAAAACCAGTTTTGTAGAGTCGCGTTGCCAGACTTGGAGATGGATGTGTGGCCGTTATTTTGAATTTCAAGATTTAAATTATATTTTTTACTGTTTTTAACAAGGATTGTAATAAATTAAATCATAAAATATTAATTATTTATAAGACTTTCATCACATTTGGAAAACTCCTCCTCAGTGACCCTTTTGGTGCCTTCTTTTTGGATTACAAACACCTCGAAATTGAACGAATTAACCACAAATTTCTTCTTGATTTTTTCAGCACAGCTTCTGAGGGCCTTATAGGCCAATTCCTGGTCAAGATTCGGCTTGTAGAGGTCCTGGAGGAGAAAATCACAGAATTCCGGATGCGAGCCACGTACGCCGTATGGTATGGCAGCCACCGTGCCTTTATAATCGATGCAATGCAACTCTGGACCATTGATGGAATCGAATCCGCCAATCATTATTGTAATCTGATTATTGGGATGACCCCGCTTGAACCTTAAAAGGTTTCTGCTGGAGTAGTGCACCGCTGCCTGGAGGGTCAACCTATGACCATTGTATACCTCAAACAATCCCAGGTGTTGGAGGATTCTTTTCTTGAATTTAAGCGACTTGCCGTCCGCCACTGCCACGACCGTCATCATAGAGTGTTTGTTCAGGGGATGCAATATGCCTTAAAAAATTGATTAACCTTTAAACAATTTTTTTTACTTAAAAAAAGGAAGTATATATTTACACTCTTGCTGCAGCATTCCCTGTTGAGTATTCATCGTTACCGATGCCAGCATCACGAAATCTTTTCCTTTAATACCCAAAAATGCTTCCATTTTTGGTTTTTTTATCAAGTAAAATTAATAAATATTTTTTAAGGTAACTCAATATTTGTATTAAAGTCTAACTACGTTGACGTACTTATCAAAGAAGTAAAACTCCTTAGGTTTTAAAATTTATAAACTATTTAAACTTTTTTTATTATGAGTAGAATATTTAATTCCTTTTTTTACCATTTTTTTATAATGGGTAGAATATTTAATTATTTTTTTCAATTTTAGCAAAGTTCTTCACCAGTTATAACACTTTTTTGGGTGTTATAATGACACTAGGTCAAATAAATATACCCCATTTGTTCTACTAGAAAAATTTTCAAAATATTTAAGATAATTCTAACCCAGAAAAATCTATTAAATACCCCCCTATATCTTTTAATTTTATCTAGAATACCCATCCGTACCCCCTAATACAATCCATTTCCCTTATTAAAAAACACAGAAATTGTTTAGTAAAGTTGCGAAAGCGTTGTGGAATTGTTTATTCTCATGTTCATGTTACAAATGCACTCTTGGAGAGTTTTAGTAGTACTAGTTTTAGCCTGATCTTTTACCTTTCACCTTGCACTTTTGCGGCTCTGCAACTGCACTCTTCGCACTTACACTTACAAGTCAATTGAGAGAGATTTGAGATAGAGATAGATTGAGAGCTAGAGAGATGGGCAAGTAGATAACACAAGTACATAATAGTTCTCTATATATATATATATTATATATATGTATGTATACTGTATACGACGAAGCGAAAATAAATGTATGTGTATGTATATAAATTTATATATATATATATATTTATAGTGTATATATATGTATAGATTTGTAGCGCTGTTGCTAATAGTTTCACATATAAAAATGTTTCCTTTGTTAGACATTTACAACATTTATACCCAAGTGGCAACTATAATACATATAAGTACATTTATGTATATATATTTTAATATATATATATGTAGATATATAACTCTTTGGATCTTTATATAGGCATATATATGTATAACTGTACGTAGCTGTCTGTTTATGTAGGTATCGATATCGGTATCGATTAGCTGGGAGCACGAAAATGGGTTTACCTTCGGAAAATCTGAATATAATATACCCCATTTCCTAATCCCTGATATTATGAGGCGTGGGTCCTGTGTGTGTGTGTGTGTGTATGTAGGCTAATAAGCTTCGATAGTGCAGCAAGGTGGCTAGAATTTGTTAGGTTATGTGTTGCTTTCATTTCGATTTTTTTCGATATTTTCGATATTTCTCTTAGGTACGCACACTGGTACAAAAGTATGCAAGTATTCATTTTAAAGGCAGCGCGGGACTACTTGGACACACATATGTTTTAGTATAGGCTTTCTATGTGTATGTTGTGTGTGTGTGTGTGTGTGAGTTGACTAATCGTTAATGGTGGTAATCGTGGATTAATGGGCGGCACTGATTTTGTGTTAGTTAACATTCGCTATAAGTTTACATAAGTTTACATTCTTAATATTTATATATTTATATATATAGGTATATATTTTATTTACCGATCTTTAACTATATCTTTTCTCGTTTTAGGGCGGGGCAGGTGCTCGCTGATACATCTTTACAATATTTCAAAGTCGAAAAGTGCTGGGGGACCAGAGAGAAAAGAGGGGGGAGGAGGAGGAGGAGGGAGACTTGGGCGGGTGCGGGGGCTAAGTGTGAGAAAGTCTTGACTAAATTTTAATGTACAGGACTACGTTGTCTACGCTTCTTCTATTATCATCATCATCATGATCATCATTCTCCACTTTCTCTAAGAGCGCGAAAAAAATATCCTATTTACGATATCCTGGCGATATCCTCGCGACATTGTTCTTGTTGTACTTTCGATAGTTTTTTACTTTTTTGTGCTGGCATGTTGAGCTTTTACTTTGAAATGGTTGCCTGCTGTGCTGGGGACTGCGGGCGATAGACAGAGACAGACGGAGAGAGAGAGAGAGAGACAGATGGAAGGTCCTGCAATACTGCCAGTGCGACCAACATTTCATGTGTTTTTTGTTTTTTGAAAAATTCATATTAATTTTTTTAAATTTTAAATTAATTTGTCAAAATAACAAAGCTAATCTTAATTGATATGTTCAAGCTGACGGATATTTAGTTTGAAATTTTGAAAATATAAATATATAATTGTTTATTAAAAAAGTAAATTTCTGACAAATAAATTAAGTTAATTTATCATCTTAAATCCTAACCTTAAATCGATTTAGAAAAAGCAAATATTTAGGAAGATTAATACTGATTACATTTTTAATTTTAAAAGTTAAAAATCAAAATAAATTTTATAAACTTACCAATTATATTTGGTCACACCAATTGCGAAGGCTACTGGCAGAGAGAGAGAGACAGACAGAGAGTGAAACAGAGAGAGCATGAGATGCAGACGTAGCTGTAAATTAGCCATTCGTGGACGGGAGTAGGAGGAGAAGGTACACTTTACGGATCTCTGGGATTCCGGATCGATTTCTGGAACTTGGGGGAACTTCTGGACGGGGGAGGTAGGGGATCCTTTTTGGTAGGGGCAGGGGCTGCGCCTACAGATCAAAATAAAACTCAACAAGCATGGCCTAAAACTGATTGACCTTCAGCTCGTTGCCCTGCAGCTGGACCAGGCGGAAGGCCTCCCGAATGGTGGGCGTCATCAGCAGCTTGAGGTTCTCCTCGGCCTCGCCGGGCAGCGATCGTAGCAGCTCCATGGACGCCACCACCAGCTGGGCCAAAGCGGCCCTCTTGTAGTTGGAATCCTTGAGGATGCTGCTTGCCCGCTGCTGTTCAATTTCCGGCGATATTGACTCGGCCTCCGAGGACTTGGCCTGCCGGTTCGTATCAAACGGATTGCTACGGCATTTGGGCTGGAATTCACTGATAAGCGTTGTCATGGTCACGTTCTCCTCCTCCTGCAGCTGGACACACTTGCTGGGCGAGGGATTACTGCCAGAACCCGAACCCGAACCGGAGCCCGTATCGGTCATTTCGGCATCGCCATTGCCATTGAGCGAGATGCACATGGGCTTGCTCTGCGGATGATGGTGCAGTGGCAGCGGCGGCTTGTTGTGGCGCAGCTTGCCCGAACCCGTCTCGATGTCATGCAGGGCCGAGTTGCTCAGATAAAGCTCGCACACCAGATTCCAGGCATCCTGCAGGCAAAATAAATACCTCACAAAGTTCTCCTTCTTCTTCACCGTGGTGGTGTTTAGCCGCGAGCAGGATTCCAGGATAAAGTTGAGGTCCTCCGGACCCAAATTGTAAACCACAATGTCGTTGAGATGCGAATCCACCAGCGCTATATAGTAGATCATCCACGAGGAGGTCATCTGCTTGTAGAGATTGGCAGCGTACTCGATATTCGATACCTTCTGCATGAGGAACTTGAGGCCGGGTCGCGAGTCAAACTCCAGGGCGGACATCAGGTACTGCTTGACGCAGCGCAGCAGGATCTCCTTGGAGCGAAAGTCCAAATCATAGTCGTGGCTGGGCGTGGCAGCGGAGGCGGCATAATTATCGAAGATGCAGGTGGACACCGCCTGCGGCACGCACTTGAGCCGCGACAGCAGCAGTTTGGCCACCAGCTGGAGCAGCATTTGGTTGGCCAGCAGACCCACCACCAGATTCTTGAACGGTATCCTGATGACAAAGTTATCCAGGTTCGAATTGAAGCCATTGTTCAGCGGGTAAAGCAGGAAGGAGTAACTCCTATCGTCGGACAGCTTGCTGCACTGCGAGGCACTGGTGGGCATGGGCGCCTGGCCCTGGCCCGGCTCCCTCTGATTGTCCGAAAGGAACACCTGCTGCGCAAGTGCATAGATCCGAGCCAGCTCCTCCAAACTGCTGTCCCGCCGGGAGGCCACCTTGACATTGGCACAGTCGCCGTAGAAACTGTTGGACTTCTCGTGGAAGGCAAAGGAGAGCTGACGCAGTGGGGCAATGGTCACCGTGCAGGCCCGATGGATGGCCGAGCAGGCAATCATCCACTGCGACTCGTTGAAGAGCATGCCCGTGGAGAGGATCACATGCTTGAGGCAGGACACCGAGATCCTGGCAATGGCCTCCTGTGACTGGGCAGCGCACTCGATCAGGACCAGGAGCAGTTGCTTTAAGGCCAGCGTCGCCGAACCGGATATCTTGGTGGGCGACTCAATGAGATTTGTTCCGCCTGCCGCTCCGCTCTTCTGCTGCTGCTCCTCGGAACTGGCGGAACTGGAGCTGCTGTCGTACTGCTGCTGCTGCTGATGATCCTGGACACCTGGTGAGTGCTGCTGCTGCTGCTCCCGCTCGATCCGCTCAGTTACAAACTTTAACTTCGAGTAGAGAAGATTATCCGCCGGATGGACAATCTGCGCCAGACGCGTCTTGGTGCCTGCTCCCAGACGCCTCTGCTCCGGCACTGATTTCTCGATAAACTCCACCACCAGATCGGTGGTCATGCAGCAGCAATGCTTAAAATTCTTCTCCACCAGCTGCCAGGAGGCGCCCGTCTTGTTGATGTACCTCAGCCAGTCCTGGATCATCGGCACCAGCAGATGGTTGATGCAATAGAAGCCAAAGTCAATGCCAGGACTGGCTAGCAGATTCTTGAACAGCTTGAAGATTGTCTGCAGGATGGGCGCCTGGTGGGAGTAAGGGCAGACAATCAGCGAGTTCGTCAAACCGTCCAGCAGCAGGAACCACACTTTGAGCACACCCGACGGCTTGTCCATCTCATCGATCTTGACAATGGTGTCCTTGTCGATGTGCAGCGACCTGTAGGAGATCATGTACTGCTCGTTTCGGGTTTGAAGATAATCATTGCCGAAATACGTAAAGTTCTCCATGGAACTGGGTATATTAGCGTCGATGATGTGCGTGTAGGAGATGCCCTTGATCTTGTACGTCGAGTGAAAGTTTGGGCACTTGGGCATGCTGTGCATGAAGCCCAGAATGCTGGAGCAGCGCTCTAGGAAACGCAGTGTCTCATGGAGGAAATCCGTGGGCCGGAAGGTGTTGTCCTCCTCTGGCTGCTGCTGCTGATTAGAGCCACTTCCCGTGGTTCCATTGGAGGAGCAGGAATTATTATTGCCACCGCCAGAGATCTCCAGGTATGAGAGCAGGCACAGGATGCAGTCCAAACCGGCATTGGCGAAGACCAGCGTATTGTCAGAGTCGAGGAAAACCCTGAAGATATCAATGATGTTGCTCATGTTCAGCATACGGCTTCGGGCGTTCCTCAGTGTCCCAAACAGTGGCCGCCATCCAGAGCGTATCTCCGTGCGGTGAGCCTCCACCACCTCGTACAGACAGGCCACAATCTGGTCCTGCACATCCACATCCGTGTCCATGCTCAGCAGATTCTCGAAGGGCTTCAGCAAGGCCTCATTGAAGTGAAAGTAAGGCAGCTCCGACTGCTCCACCAGCAAAGCTGTGATGATGTCATGGATGTACTCGATGGCCCGCTTGGAGATCATCCTGTCGCGATGGCAGGCGGCCTTGGGGAAGAAGGAAACAGATCATTATTTTTAGGGTTTGTAATCCTTTCTATAACCTTCACTTACATCCATCAAATGCGGTCCTGTGATGGCCCAAACCTTGAGCACATGCAGCAGCGGGCGGGAGCTGCGAAATACCTTGAGCGTGACATCGCCTATGCGATGGAGGAGCAGCGACATGGGCAGAGAGTCTAGCTTTTTCCAGCCCTTGCTGGGCCACCAAATGCGGCTACCCTTGCGCGCCACCTGGCTCTTGTACAGCTGTTCCCGGGAGGCACGGCACAGATGCTTGAGGAACTGGCACAGGGAAGGCAGACTAAGACGCTCGGCGGCATCGCCAAACAGATTCTCCGCCTGGTGGGACAAAGCGCACAAAACCTTGGAGGTGTCGCTCTGGCTGAGTAGGACCGTCTCATTGGTTCCAGAATAGACCTTCAGAATGGAGGTAATGTTCGTGTTTGGACTCTGCATTGGAGCCTGCAAGAAGCTGTAGACATCCACGCTGAAGGGAGAACATAGATACTAGTTTAAAAGGTTTCTTTAGAGTCTCAACCTTGACCTACCAGGTCTCGTCATCATCGATGGGTATGGACGATAGATTGAGCTTGTCCTGGGCATTGCCATTGCTCAGCTTCTCGCCCGTCTCCAAGTCCCGGCGACTGCTGCCCGGTGAGGCCGATATAGCCGGATTCTGCATGCTAAAGATCTCGTGCTCCAGCTGGCTGACATGCCGGCAGACGGCAAAGATGCTGGGCCAGCAGTCGGCACTATAGCTACCCAGATTAAGGCCGCCGGTGAGCACCACATCCATGGACATGGCCTGGCTGGCGGAGATCCGAGGCCCTGAAGTCTGACACACATTCGAGGCCAACAAATTGAGTATCTTGCCAGCCAAATGCTGCAGATTCAAGCTATTACTCAGAGTGGCCGCCTAGGAAAGAAAATAATAATCAAATTCTGGAGAGGATTATCCCTATTCAATCCTCACCGAATGCAGTCCATCCAGGCACATGGCATACAGAGCCTCTCCATTCGACTTGTTGGCCTTGGCCTTCACCCTCAGCGTTCGCTTGGACAAAGCCACCAGCTTGTTGGAGGCGGAGCTAGTCTGGAGATCGCCCAGTCCCGAACTCAGCACAATGACCATGGAGTCCCAGCAGCAGGTGAGCAACCGTCGGCATAGCTTCTTAGCTGCCTCGCGCCGCTTGTCATGCAACTGCTCCTCCTCCTTGTGCTTCACATTGGCCGTTTGTAAACGCTGCCACTCGGAGAGCATCTGGGTGGCGCCCAGGCCGCCGGCATCGCACAGCATGTCCACGAGGGCGCAACGTGGACCCATGCCACCCTCCAGTTGCTGGCGCGGCATGGCCTCCAGGACATTGCACACCGTCACCGATTGATACAGCTCGCAGAGCCACGGCGAGGAGAGGTAGACCAACACGCCCGTATTCTGGACAGAGGTCACAAACTGCTGCTCCGACATGGGCACCAGGATATCCTTGTGCGAGGCACCCTGGGCCACCTGCTCGTAGTAACCCGCCCGCATCAGCTGCAGGCTGAGCAGCAGCGACGAATAGATGGCCAGGTAGATGCCATCGGCATTGATGGCGGTCAGGTTGTAGTCAAAATCCGAGAAGTTCATGCTGTTCTCCTGGCACACGGCCGATGCGAACTCCTGCATGGCCTCGTCCAGCTCTACGCAGCTACGCAGGCGCAGTAGCTTCGGCACCAGATCCTGCCGCAAGGCCCTGGCAAAGTCCCGGGCATGCTGCCGGTCATTATCGCTGTCCGTCCGTATGGGCATCACCGGTGCCTCCAAATGCGAGTACGGCCAGCGGTTCTCCACGCGCGACGTCTCATCGCTGGAGCTGCTGGGATCATCATCCTCGGGACCCTCCGTATCGCCGGAACCATTCGAGGCCGCATCCTGTTCATGCGGCGGCTCACCCTCGCTCTCCGATCCCGACGACGTTTCGAATACATTCTGCCTGAACTCCACAATCGCATCCCGATACGGAGCCGGCAGCCGGGCCATACTTTGGTAGGTCAGCGGGCCAGAGTAGTCCGCATCCTTGAGCAGCTCGTGACGTCCATTGACCACTTGGACAATCTGATCGCTGATCATCGACTCGGTTAGTTCGCCGCTGCAAAGCACCTGCAGGCTGTCCAACAGGGCCACCATGCACTCCACGCTCGCCTGCAGGCTGGCTTCGGTGGCGGTGCCCACACCGCTGGCCCCATAGGCGCACTCCTCCATGGCGTCCACCAAACTGTAAGAAAATATGTAAAGTTTTGGAGAATTATTTACAGGAAAATAAAAATCCACTTACAGCCGGAAAAGCGCCATCTCATCGCTGCAGCCTTGAGCCGTGTTCTTGTCCACATAGAGGATAACCGCCAGATCGATGAGACGCTCCGGACTCTTGAAGATCTCCCGCACGCAGCGCAGCGGCTCTGTGCGATTCTGTGGCGCCGGAAGCAGAAGCATCCGATGGAACAGAGCCTCCAGCATGGGACGCAGGGAGCCATGGGCGCCGGCTATTCGGAGCAACTGGATGGCGGTCAAGTAAACGCAACGGGCCTGAGGTCCATCCAGTCCTGGGCCCGTGAAAAAGCCACGTGCCTCATTCTCAATCATGTGCAGGGCATCCCTGGATGCAAATTCAAATGGAAAATAAGTAATGGTTTTAGGGAGTCATTTGCCACTCACTTGTAGGTGAACTTCTTGTCCAGATTAATCCTTCCGGGTGATCCCAAAGCTGCCGCTAACGTTGGACAGAACTTCTGCCAGAGAAAGGAGGTAAAGTGCGGATTCGCATGCACATTTCGGGGCAGGGCCGAGCTCAAAGTGAGGATGCACTCGGTGAGGTACAGGGAGCTATGGTTCTCGCACTTCTTGTTGGGTGAGGCATTCACATTGGGCTCCACCAGTCGACTGCAGAGCCACTGCATCACGGGTATGACCTCGTTGTAGACGGCGGAGGCTTGGGTCTGTGTCATCAGGCCGGCGGGAGCAGTCTTCTTCACCTCCTCGGCCTCCTCGATGAGGAAGGCGCAAAACGTGCGCAGACATTGGGAGGCGGCGGCCAGCGAGGCAGCCTTGGTGGCCCGCGAACCCATCTCCCAGCATTCGCCGCAACGGGACAGGATCTCGATGAGCAGGCGGCCGTTCAGAGTGCAGGCCGGTGAGCAGGCCATGGCCAGGAAGAGGCGCAGCACATTCACTACCGTATCCTCGCTGCTGGTCGACGGCAGGATCCCGTTGGTGGCCCGCAGCAGCTGGGAGGGCAGCCAAACGGAGTCGTCCTCCGGTTCCAGACCGATGTAGAATCGTTCGTCCTTAATGACGCGCTGGAAGAAAAGGAACATATTTAATAAAAGTGTTTCAAGGACGGCGGAAATCAAAGAGAACGTCAAGGAAGGCAACAAAGAGCACGATTCAGCCAGGAATTATTGATTACCATATGGTTAACCATTCACTTCCGCCGACCCCCAAGGGATTCTCAGCAATTAGCCGTGGTCCCATCGCGACCCACATTTCCCCATATGCCACATGCTCCACATGCCACAGCCCACATTTCCCATGTCCATTTCCTGTGCCCATTGTCCATTGTCCACTGTGTATGTGAATGCACACGGCATGATAAATCCGCTTTGTGTGCCCGGAACTTCCGGCCGGAAAATGTGTGTCAGTTGGTTGTTGTGACCGTTGTTGGCTCCTGGCTTCTCGTTATTCTTCCTGGCCTATAATCGCCGTATCCGGCGGTGCACTTACGTGGAGCCCATTGAGTCCCATCGTGATGAACTTGGGCCGCTTGGTGTCCAACGCCATCTGCAAAGCGGTAAAGCAAACGGAGCGCAGCTCGTGGGAGGGATCCCGGTGGATGCCATGCTGCCGGTACAGCTTATCTGCAGAGAAAGAAAAATAATTGGTTAATATAATTAATTTAAAAAAATTAAACTTTTTTTATTTATTAATTATTAAAAACATTCTACAAAATGTTTTATAAATTCATAAAATTGTATATTTAAGAAATATTATATATTTGCACAGAACTGTAGCTGGTTCTTTTCTTCGAGTGCAGAATTAGCGCTAAGTCGCTACGATTAACGGTTATCGCCTGAGGACGCAAGTATGTAACTAATGTAGGCAGTAAAATCTGCCACGATAAGCGAGCGGATGTGTGTGCGTGAGGGAGAGGGGCAACTCCCACAAATCGTTGCCTACTCTTCTGCAACGCCAACGCAGAAAAGGGACAAAAGACCAGCAACAGAGTCAGAAAATCAAAAGGAAACAAAGAAAAGATTGAATTGTGTGGGAGTTAAAATGCCCTGCAGCGTAAAACGACGGTATCTTGAACTTTGGTTGCCACAAATATTTTTGGCTAAAAGCAACATTACAATATTTTGCTTTTTTTCCTGAAAACACAAAGCACGAATTTCATGTTCTTTAATTTAAATTTTTACGTTCACAGTTCATTTCTTTCGCAAACCCAAATGCCGCACCGACTTTTGGAAGGACAACGCGTCACAAAGGAAGTGGCAACTAACGGTAAACAACAAACACGGGCCGAGACCAAGGAACGAAGGAAATAGCGTTCTTGCATGCGCCTCTCTTCTTTGCACTCGTCCTTCTTTCTTTTTCTCTGCATTAAAGTGAAAGCTTATGGAAAACTTACCGTAAGCGATTTGCGCCGTTTGCCTCAGCGCATTGTGCTTGGTGCCAGTTGATTCCTTGATAACCAGCAAAAAAAGGTCTTCCATATTGCCGTTCTCCTGCTTTCGCTCTCTCTCTCTCCCTTCTCCTTCTTGATTGCTCTGCGTGCGCGTTTGTGTTAGTGCTCGCAAAAAATGCCTTGGTTTTGTTGGTGTTTTTGTTGCTGCTTCAGGCAGTTTCTGTCGCTCCCGTTGATGTTATTGTTGTTGTTCTTGTTGTTTCGCCCTTGCACGACATCTCTGGTAATAACAACTCAATTAGCGCCGCCTAAAAAATAGGAGTAAAATCAATATAAAGAGCGAAACAGAAACGCTAAAAAATATGCGTTTGGCAAATGTGTTTATGTGTTGCCGCCATGCACACATACGTATGCATGTACATGTGTACATATATATGTAAAAAAGAAAACAAAAAGGAAGAAGAAAGGAAGATGAAACAATTTCCTTGGGGATTTCGCCTTGAACTTCCAGTGCGATTAAACGAAAAACATCCTGGGGGCTTAGCACAGAGTTCAGAGTTTCAAGTTTTTACTTTTCCACAATATTCTGTTTCCCTTTAGAAATTCTGATTCCTTACCGAGAGGAACAAACTTAAATGAAAATTCGTTGACATTTTTATATACTGTACGTACATAAATACATACATATGTACATATATGTACATATATTAAGTAGCGTTTCGAAGGATTCCGGCCGGAGTATAGATTGTCTTAGGAGATTCCAGTGGGAAAGTAAGGAGATCAGAACTGAAACTCCCGCAAACACAAACGCGAGCACACATATGCACGCACGCACTCACTCTCTCACACATGGGGAAGTTACAGGAGTGGGGGGGCGGGCGAGTGTATTTGTGTGCTGTCATGTCACTTTTGCACTTTTCAAAACTTTGCCATTGCAGTTTTGCACCTTTGAAAAGTTCAAACAGTGTGTATCCGTTTTCCTTGAAAAACTTTTTCTCACATTCATACACACACATACACAACAAACACGGACACAATGCAGCCAGGCAGTGCAACGAGAATTTTCAATTTCACTCCATATGTCAACTTGTTTTTAAGGCCTTTCATGAGTTTTCACCGTAGGAACTTGTGGGATTTACCATTTTCATTATCGAATTTTGCCATAAGGCGTGCTGGCGGTACTTTTGAGCAACGCAGCCCACACTTGTGGTTTTTGTTTGCTGCTGCTACTACGTCTCCTGCTGTTTTTTTCACTTTTCCTCTATCCGCTGGGTGGTAAATGTGCTGCACTTGCCGTTGGATGCGACAAATGCTGTGTGACGCGAAACGAAAGCACTTTCTCCATTTACGGCCGGAGTGCGCACGGTTCACGGAGTACAAATTGGTGCACGAATGCGCATGTCGCCCAAGCCAGCTGTTCGCGTGCCTATCGTCTATCGACAACTGAAACTTGAACAAAAAAGGAAGCCAACTTCAGCACACTAAAAAATATTATGGGTATTCCTAAGACGACTGAATTACTTAAAATATCGGCGATGCATGGCGATAAAAATCTGATTACCCACCATTTCCACAGGTGGTTTGCGTGGCAGATTGCCAGCTCTCGTCCTCTCCCTCTCTTTTTCGCTATATTTTCTCTATATTCAAGCTCTAGTTTTAAATTCCATTAATTATTTTTCGCATTGATGTAAATACAAATGTACATATGTAGTACATAGCGCCTACTCCTTTGTCCGCACCGACAATTGGCAGCGCCACAAAGTGGAAACTAACGGAAAACAACAAAAACTTCGACATTCGTCGAAACAAAGGAGGAAGCCAGGGTTTGCATTTACTACTCCATAGCAGCAAAATTCATAAAAATATTGCTATGCTATTGCTACCGCTCTCGCTTTGACGAGAGCCGTAGCAGAAGATCGGCAAAGCCTATGCTCTGCTATGCTCGTAGTTTTTTCGCTTCAAAAACTACGCTATAGCTATAGCAAAAAAACTCAAAAGCAGTGCTCTGCGTAGCCGTAGCCGTAGCAAAAAATTGAGAGCGAGATGAGAGCAGAGCAAAAGGAGTTTCGTCATATGCTACCTGCTGCCGCTGCAGCAGAAAACAAAAACAAAACACAGGAGGGCAGAAAGAGAGAGAAACAGGGGCACGCATATGACGAAACTCCTTTGCTCTGCTCTCATCTCGCTCTAAATTTTTTGCTACGGCTACGGCTACGCAGAGCACTATTTATTTTTTGCTATGGCTATAGCCGTAGTTTTTGATCCGAGAAAACTACGAGCAGAGCAGAGCATATGCTTTGCCGATCTTCTGCTACGGCTCTGCTACGGCTCTCGTCAAAGCGAGAGCGGTAGCAATAGCAAAACGAAATACTACGGGAGTAGCGTAGTTTTTCAAACGCTGGAGGAAGCAAATTGCATTCTTGCGCTCTCTTCCTTGTTCGCCGTCACCAACGCTCTCTTTCCTTGTCCTTCTTTCTGTCTCCTGTGGAATGTGGTAAGTAAACAAAAAACAATTTTCCACCTTCCTTGTTTTTTAAGCTTATGAAGGAGAAGGAGAAGAAACCGAGAACATGGCGGAAAATACGGGACACTCGCGCTGTCTCACTCGCACTCGCACATGAAAAGAAACTAAAGAAGAATGCCGTTCTCCTGCTTTTGCTCTCTCTCTCTCTCCCCCCTACTCTCTTTCTTGATTGCTCTGCGTGTGCGTTTGTGGTCGCCAAAAATGCCTTGGTTGTGTTGTTGTGGGTGTTTTTGTTGCTTCTTCAAGCTGTCGATCAGTGGCGGGTACAAAGGGGAGCCGATCGCTCCTCCCCTTCGTGAATCCTTATTTGACCATATACTTTTCCTCCCTCCCTCTCTTTCACTTTTACTCTCCATTCATGTCCGAGTTTTAAATGCCATTAATTATATTTCGCATTGATTTAAATAGCTTAACTGACATTAAAATTAGGAGAAAAATTAAACAGGACTCAGTTGCATATCAAAAACCATTCTTTGCTCTCATGACATAGAAGACTAAAAAGTGCAAGTGCAGATTCCGCATTTCGCCTACTTCACGGGCTTCGACTTCCACAGTCCGTCGTTGAGGAAGTGGTACGTCTCGATGCCAATGCCCTTGTTCTTCGCCAGTCTGCGGAATTACAAAATAGATTAATCAAGATGTAAGTGTAATTTGTTAGCAATCGTTAATAAGATGCACTAACATTTCTTCCGTGGAGAGTGTGAGCAGTCCGATGGCCAGCGCGTGCTCCTTGCCCTCTGCCATGATGGCCACTACGGTGCTCTTGTCTGCCGGTGTCATGCAGGCACCCGGCGATGTCAGCCCTGGACACATGACGTTGGCACCGCTCAGGACGAAACGGATGGCGCCCTTGTCCACCTGCTGCATGGTAACAAAGTAGGGGAACTTGTGCAGCAGACGCAGCGTGGGCATCCAAGGGCCATCGCGGTGGCGAAAGAACACTTGTTCGCCGGCTCCGTTCAATAGCAGCTCGATGTGGTCATGGCTGCGGGGATGGGGATCGGGATGTATAGTAAGGCATGGACATTGGAATGGGGGAACTACCACTTGGCGATGCGGTACGAGTCCTTCTTGGGCAGGATGAGGTCGATGTGTGTTTCCAGCTTCGGGTATGCCTCCAGCAACTTGGCCCGGATGCCCTTCTGCACCGACGACTTCAGCTGCTGGATGCTGGAAATGCTGTCTTTCTCCTCGAATCTGTGGGTTTTTGGAGCGGTATCCTGGTTAGTTTGTGCCTGGACAATGGCATCTCTATTCTATACATACTTTTTGAACATTTTGCACGATTTCCTCCTTGCGTTTGTTAGCAGTGTTACCAAGTGGGAGTACTAAGAAAATACTCAATCCAATTGTAGTATTTTAGTATTTTCGCCGGAAAACATGGGGATCTAAAAATCACAAGAATATTTCATTTTCTATTAACAAATTTGGTTTTATTTCAGCTAATAACATTTTATGTATTTTTCTTAATTTAATAACAATTGTCCTGGTTTTAGCACCTGTCGTACATTAATATTAATACGAGAGTCTGCGATGTAGTCCGAAAAAGGCTGCCAGAAATGCAGGTTGCCTACTTGTTCAAATAAATCCATATCCAGGGAATCACCACCACTATCGTCCTCATCCTTAGGCAGGGCAGAGTTCAAGGTTTTGTGATCCTTTAGGATACGCGGCACAGCGTGATAGCACAGTCGGGATTCTCCGGACATTATCAGGACATCGCCACTTTGCAGCAGAAGGGCGGTGGGTGTCTCTTCTAGGCTTTTGCCGCCGATCAGGAAAATCGCCGTCTGGCCAAAGCTAAACGAAAATAATGGTGCTGACTGATTGGGCTCAGAGTAGTCCACATGTCCGGATAAGCTACTGCCAACGGGATAGTAGTTAACTATGGCAGCTTCGGGCTTGAATTCCTCGTAGCCCAGGATGGATGCGAAGAGTCTGCACAGCCGGCTTAGATCCTCTGGGAAGGGTGACTGCATGCGGTCATCGTAGTGCTTGGTGTCCCAGTCGTGATGATAGCCAAATGTGGTCCAACGCATGGCCACTTTTGTCCTTTGAAAGTCTTCTTTAGATTGGCACCGTTGGAGCTCCTTCCACCAGTCCGACCTGACAGTTTCATCGAAGAGCCTCTCGTTTAAATTGACGATGTTCGGTGGCCTTGGGTAATCCCGCAGGCATCGGGATATCCAATACCGAAGGCCCCGCTCGGTAAAGGGGTTTCGTATAACCACGATTCCGGGATGATTCCTTAGTTTATAGCATCGCCAAGTGCTAGGTGACTTTAGACCGGGGATCCTCTGAAGATCTTCCTTATGGCAGGTATTCAAGCGGTGTTCACAGATTTTGTCATCTTTTAAGGGTTTATCGAAGTTTACCACATCGTTTAGGTCTGGTGTGCTACTTTTTGCCTTGAATTGCTTAAAAATTAACTTAAACATAATAGTAAAGACGTGCAAAAGGTAAACAAAAGCCAACAGAGCTGGCTTTTTAGTATATTTATAGCTAGGGAAGGGAAACTATTATGCAAAAGCTAGCTATAAACATTAAGTTTTTATTTATTTATTTCTTTTTTTATTATTATAACTTTAATTTCAAGAATCAATATAGTAGTTTATATTGTTTATATTTTTGTATTTATTTCACACTGAAACTTAGCTTTTTCTGGCTAGAAGTTCTGTCAGCACTGGCGGCCACGCTAAAAACAGCATATTTTAGTATATGCTGAAAACAGTATATTTTAGTAGTTGGCTTTGGTATATTTTCCGGAACCAGACGCCAGTCTGCATTGTTTTCAATCTTTCCGCAAGCATATTTCAATGATTTGTAAATAATATTTTATTTTTTATGCAAAAATAAGCTGTTTTTAATAAGCGAAACGCAAATGGAAACACTTGATCAAACGCAGCAGCCAGTGGCGGTGCAGGGTGAGTGCTCTTGTGGCCTGAGAAGGATTTTGCTTAATAAGAATCTTTCCACAGAAGAGACGCCATCGCCGTTGCCGTCACCGTCACCCCTTCCAGATGAAATAACACCTCTGGAGGTGGTCCAGGAATTCGTGGCTGCCGCCAATAGCGGCTCCATTGGCCGCGAACTCGCCGACGATTGCGTCATTAGCTTCTTTGGACGCCACAGCCGCGGATCGGCCGTATCTGCTGGTTATTTCCGGGTATTCATCTCGTCGCGCTACCAGCACGAGGGCTTTGAAAAGGCCACCTTCGTAAGTCCCGCCAAGGTGGAGAACCTTAAGTTGCGCTTCATGCGCTCCTTCTCCTGGGCACGTCGACGCATGGTCGAGGAGCAGAAGGTGCAGAAGGTTCAACAACGAGCCACCTCCCTGCATCTGCGTGCGGAGAGCGATGACGAAGACGAGCAGCCACCCCCCAGTCGCTGTACCGCAGAATTGGTTACCCCGCCGCGTCCCGTTAGCCAGGGCCTGGATCAGGTGAAGTTTGTGGCGGCCAAGGGAGTACTGAAAAGCCTCAGTGCAGATTATTCAGACAACGGCTTGGATTTTGGCCACACCCGCACCATACGCCTAACGCTGGGCTATCGCCAGGTGCCGCTGGCTTTTGGCCAGGGACGTCACATTGACATCTGCCTGGCCGTCTACGAAAAGTACTCGTCGGCTTCATCGTCATCTGTGGCTGTTCCCAGGCGCGGCAGTGCCGCCCGCTGCAATCCACCAACAGACGACGAGGCGGAGGATGATTCTGATCATAGAAACGGTGCCCGACGTACTTTGTTTGCAGAGGCGGACAACGAAGACAACGCAGAAGCTGAACAGGATGAGCCGGAGCCGGCGCTGGAGCACACTCCAGCCCGAGTAGAGGTCAACACTCAAGAGGAATCCGCCTTGGAGGAAACGCCACCGCCCTCCATTAGCAGCTGCACACCAAGGAAGCGTCATATTGCCTCCAGCGGAGGCGAGGTGAAGCCCAAGCGCACGCCCAGGCTGAATCGGCTGCGCTTCTAGGATACCTAGGATACCTTAGACCATGTAGCTCAATAATGTGGAGAGGCTTATGGCTCACAAAGACTGATTGCCCCCGTTTATGTCCCTCGTTTTGGGACGCACCCTTGGGCTAGGATAACCCGAATATGTATTGTCTTACATACACAGCATGCACATCTGTTTAATGATTTATAAATTATTATTCAAGTTATTCATATTTTTGTAAATCAATTACGATAATAATTATTAATTTAAATAAAGTAATTGTTTAAAAATAAATTAAAGCTAGGTATTCAAATATTATTTATCAAGCTGTAAAATAGTATGATTTTGTATTCAAGTTGGACTATTTGCATTGTTTATTTCAGTTTTGTTTATTTCAGTAAATTTCCGAAAGATTCCTAGAACCGTAATTGGATCCCTAAAAAACGTCAGCACATAATGCGAATATACAAAGTCATCTTTACAGCATGCACTGCTCCCTTTTCTATATAGTGTTTGCTTTTGCTTTCCTAGGAGCTAAGAGAGAGACTAGAAGATGTGTACCATCCTAAATAAAGCTGATGAAAGGTGTTATATATTCTGTTCTTGAAAGTTATGCTAAATATTTTGGACAAATATATTCAAAGCTAATTTATTTATTTATAAAATTTATTTTTATTTTATTTTTTTATATTATTTATTTATATTATTTTATTTATTTTTTTAATATTATTTATTTATATAATTTTATATATATTTTTTTTTTATTATTTTATTTTTTTTTATATTATTTATTTATATTATTTTATTTATTTTTAAAATTTATTTATATATTATTATTTTTATATTTATTTTTTTTTTTTAATTTATGGAGCTATTAATTCATTTATATATTAATGTATGTACATACGTATTTATATATACATATGTACATACATACATATGTATATGTATATGGTATTGTCAATTTATTATTATTTTTTATTTTATTTATTAACTTATTTAATTTGTTCCCTCTTTTTTTCTGTATTTCTTTATATACATATTTTTCAGTTTATGTATTTATTTAATTTTTATTAAATTTATTTAGTTATATTAATTTATATATATTTATTAATTTATTTCATTTTTTATTTATTAACGTATTTATTGATTGATATTTTTCTTTATTTTTTAATTTTTGTTTTTAAATATATTTATTCGTATAGCAACAAGTTTTTAGAATTTTTTTTTAGAGTAATTATTTTAGAATAATTATTTTTTATAATATAAATTTTGATTTTCTTATTTCAAAATATTTAAAAAGTTAAACTAAGAAAACTTTATTTAAACCATTTCTAGTTGTCTTTGAATTCCAGAAGATCCTCTCAGTGTAAGGGCTCCAGAAAGCTCTGGGCAATGGTACAGCCAAAACCACGCTTCAGTCTGACTTCACATTCCCAAAACAACAGATCGATCGCTTGAATTATATATATAATTTATATATAACTATATTTTGTATTTAAAATGGAATACGATTTTAATTTCAACACACTACAAGATATTAGATCTTCTGTAAATGGAATTTATAAAGTTCTGATCTTTATGCTCCTCCTGCTAATCATCATTACCGTACTACTTGTCGTCAAGGTGTGCATTAAGCTATATACGCTTCACACCGCATCGCTAAGGGAGCGGTATCGCCTTGATGCAGCCCACTGCATCCAAACTGGAGGAGACAGAGCAGCGGAACAGCCTTTGGCTACGCCCTGAGGATCCATTAATATGCTGTATACAAATTATAATTGAATTATAATGAAATATATGTACAGTATAAACTAAAAACGAGTTGGTGAATTAATTTTGAAAGCTATAAAAGTGATTTTTTGCCTGAAAAAAGGGAAGAGTGAGCGGAAAATATAAATAATATAAATTTGTTTCAGTTAGCTAATAATTTTATTAAGCTTCTCCTGCACCCCATAGATATAGTATCCTTCAATTTTTATAGAATTAAGAACATTATTTTTTAGAATTTAAATATGACCGCAATGTGACCGTTCTAAACTTCTTGGCTTTTTCACCACACCCTGCAACGGCCACACTTCAGACAAGTTTGTTTGTTTTTTGATCTGTTTTTTTGGATTGGTTTTCGAATTCCCCGGCCCGTTCTGATCCCAACCGTGTCCACGAAGATGCGCCTGTGCCCGCTGGCCGTACTCCTGCTGCTCGGCTGCCTGCACGTGCTAATGGCCTGCAACCATTGGGTGCTGCGCGAGGAGCAGATCGTCCCGAAACTGGACTCGCCCTTCCACATGCGCGAGCCACACAATTTGGCGGCATTTCTGGAGCAGATCCGGTACAGTGAGTACGTGGAGCGTTCGTATCTCGATTTGTTGCGCAAACGGGAGCAGATAGTGGAGCATTTGCGTTTCTCCATGCGCTTCGGCGAGGACCTGGCCGAGCAGGCCAAATGCGCCATGGACTACTACATGCTGGAGAAGCGCATGTCTTATCTGAAGATCACGCCCGAGCAGCTGAAGCGGATCAATCTGCCGGATCAGCGGGAGCTGCACATCCAGCAGAGCACCTCGACGACGCTGGGCAAGGAGCCGGTGTGCAGCGATTATCATCGCATGACTGTCGGTCCGGCCATGTACGATCATTTGGAGAGCTTCCGGCCAGAGGTATTGGCCGCCGCTTATGTGGACAGAGAACACGATACCAATGTGGGCACGGCCACCGTTGAGCTGACCCGCCGCTTTGCCGTGGACGGACTGAAGCATCATCCGGCGTCGTGGAAATTTCACACTTTGAGCTCCTACTACTGGCGGATGCGGGGCAATGCCAGGGAGGCCTTGCCCTGCGCTCGCTTGGCCGCTTTGCTGGCACCGCCCATCTTCAAGGACATACCGCTGCTGAGTTTGGGCACCATACTCTTCCGGATGGGCCGGCTGGCCGATGCGGATCTCATACTTACCGCCGCCGTGGAGCATGCACCCATGGTGGCCGAGAACCATGTGGTGCTAGCCTCGGCGCTGGCCATGAAGCATGACTTTAATCGCTCGCTGCAGCACTTCGACGAGGCCGAGCGGTTGGATCCCAGCACTCTGCCGCGCACCCAGCAGGTGCGAAACTTCATCAGCTGCTTGGAGAACCTCACCAAGAAGACCTCCAAGATGTACAGCTACGTGAAGTACATGAAGAACGAGGTGAAGGAGTTCAAGAAGCTGAAGCATCACATCTCCCAGAGCCACGAGCGTTTGATTCAGCAACAATTGCCGCTGGGAGCACGCCGCCTGCTTGGTTTGGATCCCCAAACCGGCAACGATGACCTCCATAGGCGTGGCCAGTATTGCAGCACGCGAACGCCCAGTGGATCCGATGAGCCGGTGCTCTTCTGTGACTTTTACTCGGACATGCAGATGCGGCTGGAGAGCAAGGATGTGGACATTGATGTGCTGGAGCGGGACCTCAAGGCCAATACGGATGCGGTCATACGGCAGGTGTCCACCGAGATACGCAAGCAGTTCAATCTGGAGCAGCTGAAGGCAGCCAAGGCCCAGATGCCGGCCAAGGCGGTCAAGGCCACGTAAGGTGAACCGCAAACCAGGTGAACTGGCGCACATTCCCTAAGAAAAAGAAAAACTTAAGATGAACCACTGTTTGGGTCACAAATTAGCTTTTATTTTTTATTTTTTAAAGTGTTTATAGTGCTAGGTGCTAGTGTGTGTGCCAGTGTGTGTGTGCCAGTGTGTGTGTGCCAGTGTGTGTGTATATATTAACCGAGTTAAAGGATAAGTCTTCAGGAATAGCTAGTTTTAGGCTGAGATATTCGAAACAGTCAAAGGATGTTAGGCCGGTTGCTGTTTTTTTTTTTTTTGTTTTTAAACTGAAATTAACGATTCCCAGACTCAAATACCTTGCTAAAAGTTTATTTTATTTTTTACAATTTTTTTTTAAAATTTATTTAAAAACTGAATTTTTAGTTATGTTTTAAAATGTATAATTTCCTACACGATTCTGCTCTTTACAGCCTCAAAAAATCACAATTTCCCAAATCGAAAATATTTCTATATTTCATTTAAATATTTTAAACATTTTTTAAATTTAAAAAACATTTTGTTATATTTATATTTTATATTTATAAACAATTTTCTTCTAAAAATCACAATTCCAAATATCAAAAATATTTTTCTTAGAAAATTTTAAAGGAAATTTTTTTTAAAAATTTAATTTAAATTAAATCTAAAACAGCAATCGGTCTAAAATTAATATAAATACTTGTTTTTAATCAATGAATTTAAATGGAAACGCAACTAAATTAGTTGTGTGTTTTCCATGCATTTCAATCCCAAAATCCGTAGTCTTAAAAATTAAATTAAACAACTTAATTAACGATTTAAACGTCTGTTTTGTTTCTTATTCGTAAACAAAAAAAATCTACATTTAATAAAAAATAAAAATAAAAAACAGCCACGTGCAAGTTGAAGAGGTAGACTCGTTTCACCACTGGATCTCCTGGTTGTCCAGGGCCTTCACCAACGAGGACAGGCTACCAAAGGTGTGCCTGCTGTCGCCGGCCGCCTTCCCCGCCTCGTCCACCAGCAGTCCACTCCAGCCACTATTGCGTGCGCCCGCATAGTCCATGTCCAGCTTGTTGCCTATGTGCAGAGCCTGCTCCGCCTGGAGGCCTAACCGCTGCAGGGCCATGTGGAAGATGCGGCTATCCGGCTTCATGACGCCAGCCTCGTAGGAGGTCAGCACAAAGTCAAACTTGCCGGCATAACCCATGGCGGCCAGAACCTGCGGCAGCGATGGATCAAAGTTTGAGATGACGCCCACAGATTTGCCGGCCGCCCGGACGCGCTTCACCAGCTCCTGGCCACCCTCGATGTGTCGCCAGCAGACGTTTGTACGGAAAAGGGCAATCAGACGACGACCAATCCTCTCCAGCTGCTCCGCCTCGAGTCTGTCATCGGTGCAGGCAAAGGTGCGCGACACCAAGTGCATCCACCACTGCTGCCAGTCCATCATATCCGGCGACTGGCGCCCAAAGTTCGGGTGCTCGCGGCTCATGGCCGAGAACTGCTGGCGAAAGCAGCGCTCCAGCTGGCCACGGTCCACGCCAGGGACGCCGCATTCCTCCGCTGTTTTCTGGTAGTGTCGCATTGGCTCCTCCAGGCGGAGCAGGGTGTCCGTAACGTCGAATGTCACCAGGCGAAAGCGTTTCAAATTTTGCACAAATTGCGAAGTCAACGACATTTTGGCGACCAGTGTTACCAGTCGCTGCAAAGATATTTTCTGTTATATGTATATTTTTCTGTTGTATATTTGTTATATATATACAAAGAAAATATTTAAATATATTATATTAAGGCCAGGGGCGTGGCAAGGGGGATGTTAAAAATAAATTCATAAAATTTGGCAAATACTTGATATATTTGAAAGCAATAAATAGCTTAATAAATTGTTAAACACAAATTTCTCGTGCAAAATTATTTAAATTTTAAAATATAAAGATAAAAGTTACATTCTTAGTCTTAATTTTTAAAATTTAAATCTTTAATATTTTTCAATCTTTAATAATTTTGGTATTTTCCCACACTGACAGCTAAGCTTTTTTTTTTCGAAAAAATACTAAACTTTCCCTGGCCAACGAACTTTGTGTATTTGTTGGTATTTGCGGGCTGCCACGCCAGCGGTCACACCGAACGAAAATAATTTTTGTTATTGCCAACAACAAATTTTTGTTGTTGTTAAATGGCAGAGCCAACAGCAGACGCTCCGCGCTTCGTTCCAATCCACCTGACAGCCAGCAGCCACAGCGGCAGTTAATACCGCAGAGCTGCCAGCGCCGTCCCTCGTTCCAAGTGGGTGTCGGAGCAGATCCCGGGGACGTGAACGCGATCTATTTTGGCCAGCAGAGTTACGTGAACGTTGTCGTCGTCGGATTTCGGGCTCGGATTTGCCGGATTTTGCTGGTTGGCAGGCGATGCCATAATGAACGTCCGAAAGCGGCCACGTCTGGAGCTGGAGCTCAACTCTGGCTCTGTTTCCGCAGCTCCACCGGCCCTGCTCACGACCACCGCACACACGGCGGACCTGTCCGAGGCCTTGCTTGGCGGCGGTGGTGGCCAGAGCCTGATCCTCACCAGCGCTGGCAATGCTTTACTTAATAGCAGCAGCGGCGCTCAGATATTCCTCACCATCTGCGGCGATGAGAACTCGGAGGATGGCGAGGAATCGCAGGAGTACTATGCCATTAAGCAGGAGCCCGGCTCCGATTTGGATGTGCATACGCTGCTGCCCACCAACCTGCAGCTGCCCACCGGCTGTGAGATCTACCTGGTGAAGGATACCAGCAGCCTGGCAACGCCGCCGAAGGCCTCCATTAAATTGGAGCCTGAACTGCTGACCGAGAAGATGGTAGCCTCCAGACCTGTGACGCTGTCGGTGGCAGCCACACCAGCACCTGCAGTGGCATCAGCACCACCAGTTGCAGCAGCAGCAGGAGCGGGAGCAGGAGCAGGAGCTACCTCCACCACCAGTGTGCTCTATGGCCAGACGCAGACGCAGCGTTCCGTGCCCGAAGTTGCCCCCACAACGCCCACCAGCAAGCTGGAGGCTTACAAGAAACGCGACGACAAGCGCCGTGCCACACACAACGAGGTGGAGCGCCGGCGTCGGGACAAAATCAACAGCTGGATCTTCAAGCTCAAAGAGATGCTGCCCAGCCTGAGCTCTGGCGAGGCCAGTCCGAGTCCCAGCACCAGCACCAGTACCAGCACCAGCAGCAGCGCCAAAAGCAATCTGAATCTGAATCCGAATCCAAATCCGAGCCCCAGCGGACGTACGCCGCCCAACGACTCCAAGTCGCAGATCCTAATCAAGGCGTGCGAGTACATCAAGAGCATGCAGGGGGAGATTGACACGTGAGTAGAGGGTATCAGTGTGTTAAATAGGGGGGGAAAAGGGGGCATTTAGAGGGTTCTTGCTGAAGATTTCCAGTTTTTTGAGATTTCACTAAGATGTAGCTTCATTAGATTATCCTTTTATGTAGGTAGTGGAAAGTAGAGCTGGGAAAATGTTATGAAAATATATTTATATATTTTTTAAATGTTATTGAACCTTTATTTATTTTTTATTTAATTTATAGAAATTTATTTTAGTTATTTTAATTGGAATTCAATTAATTTTTTCGTTTTAATATGACGGATTTTTTTTTTAAGTTATTGAATCTTTATTTAAAATAGAATTTAAATTAAAATGTTATTTTTCGTTTTTAAATATAAATATATATTTTTTAATGGTTTTGAAGCTATATTTTTCTTATTTTATAGAAATTTTATTTATTTATTTCATAGAAATTTATTGATTTATTTTTTTAAATGGATTGGATTTTATAAATAAAAAATAGTGTTTTTATTTAATGTTATTTTCTTTCTTTTATTTTTGTTTTTTCCTAATTTAATTCATAGAAATTTATTACTTTTTTTATTTGGATATTATTGAATTTTAATATATGGACTTAATCGACGTTATTTTCTAAAAGATCGATAAAAATCGATTTTTTGAGAACAGATTTTTTCCCAGGTTCTTTTTACCTCCCAAAGCCAAGAGTCCACCTCAGTCTCATATTCTGTCTGGCTTTCTGATGACTACAAGTCTCAAATTTCTCATTCAATTTCCAATTCAAAGCCGATAAGCGAGTATTTATTTATCAAAAGCCAGGCCTTTCCACTGGCTCAGCATAAAAAGGCAAAGTTAATACAAATAAAACTGAAATGAACCGATAGTTGTGGAAATGATTCATGCAAAAAGAAAAAATACCCTCGGGTAACTGAAATTTTCTTGTGTGTGGTTTCCCCCCCCTGAATGTTTATCTAATGAAAAATAACAACAAATCTCATATTCTCCTTTCCCCCCTTAACAAAAAGGCTGCGCGACTGCTTGAGGGAGGCGGATGGCCTGAGGGCCAGCAATCAGGCGCTGCGCGAGGAACTGGACCGTCTGAAGCGTCAGCAGCAGATGCAAGAGCGTTTCCACACTGCCGCCAGCACCAGGTCCACCTTCAATGTGACGCTCAACTCGCTGAATAGCTCGGCCACCAGTGATCTGTTCGAGGGCATCGATACGACGCCCAATCTGGCGGGATTTGGTAAACGTGGATTGCTCATTAGTGATTATGATGAGTAGGGCGTCTCGATAAAAAAGAAAAAAGTAACGCCCATCCACCAAAGAATGACGTGCAACGTACACGCAACGCAACACACGCAGTACAATAAACGGATATGACGAGAGAGGGAGAGATTTCTTGTTATCGCCGCCGCTGTTATATACATAAATACCTATATATATATATAAATAATATATATATATATATATATATATGTTGAAGAATATGCAGTCGATCTTGGGTGACTCAAAAGCCATGTTTCGTTTGAAAGCTGTTCGTTTCCCCTCCCGTCAATTGAGTTCAATTAACATGCCAAGCAGCTGGTTTGGCCTGATATTTGGTATTTGGCATTATTGGCAAGGTGCTGCAATGCCCGGGTATGGCATGGTATGTACCTAGAACTCATTGTTTATTATTTTTTATAGTTTAAGGGTTTTGGTTTAAGATCACAAAAGAAGCTTTAACCCTCTAAGTGCCACAAGAAATTAAATGAAATACATTTTTTTCTAGAATCTATTCTTAAATGTTACAAAAAAAATTTAATATTTAATTTTTATTAAATATTTTTATTGTGGAGCTTAGAGGGTCAAAAACCCTATTGAGTTGTTATTTTTATTATTATTATTTTTTTTTACCTATTTTTTTAGATTTAAAATGTTTTCAAGTTTAAAAAGCAAAATGATTATTAATATATATTTCTTATGTGTTGAATATTAACTCTCAAATCAAACATAAATAGCCAAAATATATAATTTTTATAAAGAATTTAAAACTAGGAGTTTGAGTAACAAAAAATCGACTGCAAATTTGTGAAATATAAATGTTATCTTTTTTTTGTATCTCTGAGAGATCCTCATGCAGTTTGCCATCATTATATATATATATATACCTACATATTACCTAGACGTATATAGCTTAACTAAAGCGTTAAAGCGTTAACGATAACGATACCTACCTACTTGCATAAATACCTTGAACTAATTCATATTTGAGAGCATATATTTATGCTTGTTTTTTCGATTTTATTGTACTGTTTCTCGCACTAATTACCTACAGGATAATGTAACGAAATTATATGATATATATCTAGTTAAATATCTTATATATATTATATATATATATAGACATGTGTACATAAGTAGGGCAAGCGTGGGCCACATGGCGACCGTGACCGTGAGAAAGGGGGAGAACGTTAAGAATATTATTATATTTGAGCATAAATTGTTGTGAATGTTATATCACTGTTTTCGATATACACGCTGTTTCAGAAGTATACAGTAAAAAAACGTTTTATATAAATACATAAGTTAAATAGCGAAACAAACACAAAGATTAAACATATATAAGTACGATATATATAAAAATTTGTAATAACTAAAAAAGAGAATGCCAAAAAAAAAAAAAAACACACACACACACAAAGAGTAACAATACGGGAACTTTGGGAGATTGTAAGGGTACGAGAGGAATTGCATTGTTTGACCCATATATCGCGCCGATGATATTGGGTATTTGTGTTACTTGTTGCTATCTATATACAGTACATACAAAAAATAATATCACATTTCTGTCATTTGACAGCTAATTCTATTCAATTTCAATAAACGAACTCAATAATGGTTAACACGGAACGCACACAATTGGCTTTCCATTGAAGCGGAATGCGGGCTCCCCAGATCTTAACTCCATGATGGTTTATTTTCTCAGCTGCAACTGGAGGAGCGGGCGATCATATTCCCATATTCCATGATCCCAGACTTTTCAGCTTGGCAAATCAAATACATATGTATGTATATGTTGATAATACTTCTTTATCAAGTTGGGCGCTGGTATGCTTGGGTAATTTTATATTTATGATTATTTATCATTGCTTTTCCATCTATGAATTATCAGTAAAAAGTTATGAAAATTTAACCATTTTAATTCTTATTTTCTTTATTTTTTATTATAAATATGCTGAATATCTTGAGAATATTTTGTTACATTTTTACATGGATCTTAACCAAGTTATCCTTAGTTTAACTGAGGTAACAATTATAAATTATAAAATAAAAATTATAAAATAAGAGTTATTTTCGTATTATAAAATAAAAATTATTAATTCGTATTATTCCCTTTAAATTAAAAACAATGTCGAATAATTATTAAATTTAAATTGTATTCCATATATAATATTTTTTTAAATTTTATTTATTTATGTTGTGTTATTAAATAGTTTTCAATTTATTTAGTTAACTTGAGCTGTTTTGGCACTTAAATTTTCCATTCCCATTTTAAAAAGAATTAATATAATAAAATTGGTATCATTTTTGTAATATATTTAAAAATATATATTCATATTTTATATATAAAAATTCTTATTTAAAAATATCCTTTAAAGTTTATTGCACATGTAGAAAAATTATTTAAAAATATAACCATCAATAGTTCATGGATTATATAAAATTGTAAGAGTATGTACAATTTTTTTCCTTTTATATTTTATATTTTCTATAAAATGCTGGATGCTAATAGATAGCTAAAAAAAAGTCCCCTTGAGCTCTACACATTCAACCGCCGGGCATAGTCGCCCAGGTGCAGCAAGCCATGCTCCACGGATGTTATGTGCAGATTGGCACCACTCATATAGTCCACATTGATGTGGGGATTCTGCAGCTCCGAGATGAGGGTGGAGCAGGCAGCAGCCGGATCTCCAGTGCCGACTAACATTTTCTGCAAGAAGAATAAATAATTAAGAAAAAAATAATTTAATTCAATTTAGTTTAATTTAGATTAATTTAATTTAATTTAATTAATTTTCATTTAATTTAATTTAGTTTTTTTTTATTTCATTTTTTTAAATTTAATTTAATTTAGTTTAATTAATGAAATAATTTAATTTAATTTAACTTAATTTATTTTGATTTCATTTATTTCGATTTAATTTATTTTGATTTAATTTATTTTAATTTAATTAAATATTTTAATTTAATTTCTTTTAATTTAACTTCATTTATTTTAATTTAATTTAATTTTGATGTAATTTAGTTTAATTTAATTAAAAGCAACCTCCCCCACACTTACCGCCCAGAACTCGTTGCCTGGCAGTGCGTTGCCATCCCAGGCGTATGTAACCACAGGCAGCATGTCCTCCGCCAGTTTATCGGCAGGATTTCTGGCCGAATTTCGTATCTGGATGCCGCCCTGCGGATGCTGTTTCAGGGGCAACAGGGCGCCATCGTACAGACGACCTACGCGCGGCAGGTGAAACCAGGAGAAGTGCACCACGCCGATGTGGCTGAGTTGCTCGCCCAGCGCCAGCAGACGCTCTTCAAAGGCCTCGAAGAAGGTGCGCTCTTGTCGCCCGGACACCTTCCAAACGCCCAGACCAATGCCCACCACATGGATGTAGGCGGGCTTGCCCACGGCGGTCGCTCGGGCTTGGGCCTCGAGGAGCAGGGTGTCAAAGCTGATGGCATATCGCTTGCGCATCACCTTGTGATCAAAATAGCCCTCGGGTACTTTCTCGAAACGGTCACCGTTTCTGGGAATCTTCCCGTAAAGAAAGTCCTGCGATTCCCCGTAGAATTCGCGCCAAACTCGACGAAGATCGGCCGCCGGTCCACTGGAGGAGTTACCATATCCTCTCGCCTGGGTGTTTTGCGTTTGGGTTATCATTATGTCCTGATATTCCATCACTTGGGGTCGCTCGAAACGGGCTCCTATCAGTCCTATGATCACACCTTCCCGCTCGATCTGGTTCTTGTCCTGGGTCACCTCGCCGGCATTGGACCGCCGCCCGTTGTTGATGAACTCCGAGTGGGTGGAGACGTACAGCAGGGCGGCCAGCTTGATCTCGTCGTAGCTGAGGACGGAGGTCAGTTCGAGCGGATACTGCTCAGCTGGTGTGCCCACCGCCTCGAAGCCCCCGTCTCCGGTTTGGCCACTGATGGTGCGATAAAAGTCGTTGTCACCAAAGAACCAAACGCATCGCTGGGCGAGGAGACGCTGCACAAAGGCCACCAGCGTCATGTCCTTGTAGATTTTCTTTTCTTGATCGCTTCCTGTGGCAACAAGATTATGGTTTACAATTGATTTTAATAAAATATATTTTAGTTATAAATTTTAATTTTATTTTTTATAAATAATAATTTAATTATTTAATCAATTTCATATATTTCGAATTAATTTTATTAAAATTAATTTAATTTAATTTATTATTAATAAAAATAATGTTTAAAATTTATATTATAATTAAAAAAAAAAAAAATTATTTTTGATTTTAATATATAAATTTTAAACATAATGTTATTAATAATAATTTTAATTAAAATAATTATAAAGAAATTAATTTAAGAAATTAATTAATCAAAAATAATTTTAATTTATTTTTACTGAAATTCAACAATTTTGTTTTAAAATAAAAGAAAAAAATTTAAATATAATTATTACCAATTTTTAAAAATTAATTTACTATAACAGTACACTAGTCTTAATAAAAACTTCATTAAAAAAATAATAACTAAAAAATTATAAAATATGAAGTCTGCTTTTAGGCTACGGGTTGTTAAAATTTTTACACAGAAAAGTGTTCATATAAAAACTTTTTATTAATCTAATTTTTAGAAAACTCTTGTTTTATTCCTTAATAAAAATGGATTGGGATTATATAAAAAATAAAATTAAATATGTTAAATTAAATATGTACTAATATATAAATTATAAATAATAACTTAAACCTTAAAACCCACAGAATACTATATAGTACACACATACATATGTACATATTTATATATAACTAGCAGACCCGACCCGCTTTGCTGGGCCCGTACTAATTATAGTTGACGCGGCAAACACTGTTTTGTCATGCATATTATTTGTAGGAAACAATACGGAAACAATGAGCATATTACAGAGTTGTCAGTAAATAAAATATTAAACCTTCAACAGTAATCTTAATATATAAAAATCTCCTGTCACTATGTTTGTTCGCTATAGACTCCTAAACCGCTTCCTCTGCTTGTTCAATAAAATGATACTGGCATCGGGTCGTTACGCGCTCTTCACAATTGCCCATAAAATAAATTTGAAGAAATTTCGGATTATCATCAGGCATCAATAATCCAATTTTGTGGTACATCTGGCCTTGTATTTTGAATGTAGTTTCAAAATTACGTCCATCGGATGCAAGATCACAAATTTTAGTGGCCCCAAATGACGTCATTTGGAAGCAACTATTAAATTTGCGTATTTTACGCAAAAATAATTTTGAGTCATTTGAATTTTCAGCAAGAAGGGATAATAAAGGTTCTGGCGGAGCAAGTAGAGGTTGCAAAACGACTTTTCCTGCTGCGCAGCACATACCGGCAGTTTCATTCCGAAATTTAAACGCCTGACAATATTGACTTACTTTGTCCATTCCACCGATAGCAATTTTTGAATGCGCAAAGTAGTTAATATCTGGTGCATATTCAAAAGCAAGACGAACGAATGATGTACGAACTAATGAGCGACTGTTCCGCTGCCTTTGTCGTACATGTGCTCGTACTATACATATCTATGTTTCTATCTCGAGCCGCCCTGATTCTCGTAATATTCTGCTCCAGACGTTCGCTACGCTGTTCCTGGGATTCTTGTGCACGACCTTCTGCTGTCCTAATTCTTTGAGCTCTATTTCTTGAATTGACTTGTTCTGGCAACTGATGAGCTCTTTCGAAACGTCTGCGTCGTGCCACTCTGCTGCTTACGTTGTTGAGATTCGATCTTTTCGGTGGCATTTTGCTGAAAATATTATCTTACCTTCTTAATGTATTTCAAATGATAATTTAGAGACTCACCACTTATAAACACAAAACAATAATTATGAATGACAAATGACAATAAAAGAAAAGACATTCTGACGAAATGCGATTTATTGAAATAATATATTACAAAATATGTAATACGTGAAGAACCGCTCAACCAATTTGGTGCAAACTCATCAACAAAATAGCCCGAGCAAAGCATAAAGATTTGGTTAAATAAGTACACTAAATTCCATTAGAATCGGTAAAGCCGTTTCGGAGGAGTGCATAAAAAAGAGAAGATTCCTCCTTGTTCTGCCGAAACTGCCATGATGTGAAAGATCTTAGCTATCCTATCTCTCAAGTTGAACCAAACTGCATAAGCACACTAAATTTCATGATAATCGGTAAAGTCGTTTCGGAGGAGTGCATAAAAAAGAAGATTCCTCCTTGTCCTGCCGAAACTGCCATGATTAGCTATCCTATCTCTCAAGTTGAACCAAACTGCATAAGCGCACTAAATTTCATGAGAATCGGTAAAGCCGTTTCGGAGGATTGCATAAAAAAATAAGATTCCTCCTTGTCCTGCCGAAACTGCCATGATGTAAAAGATCTTAGCTATCCTATCTCTCAAGTTGAACCAAACTGCATAAGCACACCCCTGTTATACAGCGGTAATAAATTACAAATTGACTCTCCATTTTATTTAGAAAACGTTTGTATGGGAAATAGAAAAATACTGTTTTGAGGATTTTCCCGGCAATTATTCGAATTTTTCTCACCTTTTATACCTTCCCTAGACCTCCACGAATAATTCAAGACCAAGATAAGATAAATCCGTTCAGCCATTCTCGAGTTTTAGCGAGACTAACGAATAGCAATTGATTTTTATATACAGTGGATCGCAGCTTATTTCGTGCAGTCAAGAAACGAAAATTTAAAACGTCCCTGTGGCTAAACGATTGAAGATAATCCAAATATTTAAACGCAGTACTTTTAGTACTTGTACTAACATTTATACTGAACAAAGACAATCTTCCTAATTATAAAAACGATTTTGTATTTTAATAAAAACTAATTTGAGGGCTTTTTTCATGCCGCAGCTTATTTCGTGCACTTCGTTTGATTCAACTTATTTTTATTAATTTAATATAAACAATTTTATGTGACCTCTTATTTTATTCTGAATACCTTTCAGATGATGTTTCAATTGAATTAACTAGTTTTTTTAATGTTTCTAGATTAATTTTAATCAATTCCTCTAAGGCACTACTTTTTTGATAATTTTGGTCAAAACTTTTAATTTTTGGGATGGCTAGTCCAATATTTGCTAAAAATTTTAAATAATGATTATGTCTGGGTGACATTGATGTTGTTTTTTTGTCATTAGGACCGTTTTGTGTGAGCTAAAGCTTCCGAAAGTCCGATAAGTAGTAGAGACCGCTGTACTAATAGTTTTGCAAACTATCCCGTGTGACCACGTTTTCTACATTTTGAAAGAAGTTAACATTTTATATTGAAGGGAACATATTGGTTTCCAAGATCCTGCCAAAAAAAATTTGGTTTCCTACTCTACAGGAAGCCATTTAGGCCCAAATAAGACACGATCGCCGCCTTGCTTCAGAGTAGCTTGCAAGTGTTTGGTTTCTAGCTCAATATTGGGTCTCCGCCAATAATTTATACTGTCATCAGGATTAAATTAGTTTAACTTTTACTTATTGGTAAAGATAAAAACATTCCAAAAGAAAATCGGACGAATTATAAGCTCCTATGAAAAGTTTTGATGTTGCTCCTGTGCTGGTTTCCTTATAAATGGCTCTTTTCATACTACTAGAGCCTTATAGATGTATTTTTGCAACAAGAGGCGTATTAAATCGGCACTACACTTGTTTCTTATTTCCTGCTCTATCTATATAACAAATTTGGCAGACGTTTGTTAATGATTTCACTTTTTTTTTGGTCCATGTAATGAACTTAATGTTCACTGAAAAATGTATTCGGTGCATTTCGGCCCTTATGTTTGGCCCAATCTTCACGGACAAACGATTAATTTATGTTTTTATATATGTGCGATTTAAGAATAACATTTTCGTAGTACCACGGTGATTTTTTTCTGTCTTAAATTGAAAGAGAACTAATTATCGTATTTTAATAGAAATTCGCGATCCTATTTTACTTATTTCCCCATAACTTCATATTTTAGTGTGATCAGGCCAAGAAACTTTTAAAATATACATAAGCTACCAATACCAAAGCCAAAATAAAAAAAAAATTAAAAATTAAGCCAAAAATTCATTGTTTTTTACATTTTAACTAGCTGCACGAAATAAGCTGCGGCGTGAAAAAAGGTCATAAATTTGTTTTTTTAATATTATTGTTTGTTCTTATTAATTGGGAAGATATTTTTTTTTATTTAAAATGTAGGATATCTGATTCAAAACACTGCATTTAAATTGTTTCGATATCTCTTATGGTAGAGCAGCAGTGATGATTTATACTTTAGTTTCTTGACTGCACGAAATAAGCTGCGATCCACTGTATATAGACTACTATATATAGTATACATATTATTTCTGGCAATTCCAGTTACTCACCAAATTTCTGCTTGTGCTCCAGGAAATTAATGTACAGAAGGAGTGTCCTCTCATGGATCACCGGATAAGCGGAGGCGATTTGATCCCTGATAAGCTCCCTGCGATCCGCCGGCTGTGCCTTCACCCGGCATGTGTCCGTACCGAACTAAGGAGCACCGAAAAGGGTATAAGAGGACTATAGCACCTAACTGGAGTCTTACCTTTGCAGGAAAACGCTCTGAGATGGCCTGGAATCGGTCCAAATCCACTGAAACTTTCGGTTTTTCCAACTGGCGGCATTGCTGCAACATTTGTTGGGCAAACTCGCTGGCAGGACGACTGACTGCGGGCCAAGAGGATGGCTTAGAGCTGGCCTCACCCATGATGATGCTGCGGCTTAGTGTCAGCAATTGGAGAAATGATCTCAGCAGTTTACCTCGAACTCCAGTAATCAGCATTAAAACAAAAAATAAAAACGGACAGAATAGAAGGAAACAGTGCTGAAAAGCGATGGCATTGGTTATGATACAGTGTTGCCAGCGAAAGCTTTCGTATTGTAAGTATAACAGTTTTAAATAGTTTAATTTGTTAAATTTAATTTATAAAATTTTAATTTAAAATTTTAATATTTAAAAAATTTTATTAAATTTATTGATAAATAAGCAGGAAAGCTTAATACAATTAATTTTTTATATAGGGTTTTAAATATTTATTTTTGCAGAATACATTTTTTATTATATTTCTTTTTGTAGACAAAAAATAATAACATTTTTCTTATCAGGTGCCACACACACACACACTCACCTAGATGTATTTATTGTTATTAATAACGTAAAAGATATGAAAATGCTTTACCCCCCCTTTGAAATTATAACATTTTTTTCATATTTAAATTAAAATTAAATTTAATTAAATATCCCAAAACCAAATTACAACTCAATTTAAAACATTTCCCACCTTTAGTTACTTTTTACAAGGTATTTTATTTTAATTACAAAAGGATTTTCATCGTTTAAATTAATCTGAGACTTCACGCACACACACACACACACACCTTTACCCCTCTCAGCGTGTGTGTGTCTCTCTCCTCTCCTCACTTCTTTTATCTAAACCTCCAGGCTTCCTCCAGGTTTTAAACGACGCGCTTGACCTCGAAGAAGCGCTTCAGGTAGTAAACCTGGCCAACTGTCATGAGGACCAGCACCAGAGCCTCGAACGTGGACCACAGGACGACGCGGGAGTTGGTGCTCTCGTTCACCGAGCGATGGATCTTGTCGCGCACCTGGAAGAGTGGGAGGTAGGGGGATTAGGGAACCCAATCTACACATGTCCATGTGGCAACTACTCACATGCATGTACTCCTGCTCGTGCTTGACGCTGGTCAGGGTGCCGGACAGCTCGCGAATCATATCCTCCAGCTTGGTGTGACCCACCTCCTCCTCGCCGGGCGCTCCGGGCGCACGCTGCGGTGCCTCGCCCACATCAATGGAGAACATGACCAGCTTGGGGGTCATGCTGCTGCGCTCGTTGTTGAAACAGACGGTGTAGGTACCCTTGGCCGGGGCCACGAAGGTGTACTTGCCGGAGGACTCCTTTTCGCTCTCGTGCATCACATGGTTGTCGGGGCCGGTGATTTTGATGTCCACGTCCAGAAAGCCGCCGTCAATTACCTCGAAGGTGACGCCTGTCAATAAAGCCGGGCTACGTCAGTGGAAACCCTCTTGTTAATCCCCTCAATTGCCATTTGCTCACCGAACTTGGTGCCGCCTTCGACGTTCTCGAAGAAGCACTCCTCGTTGTGGGCATCCACGCTAACAATGAAGCCGTCGCCGATGCGGCACAGCAGCAGGAGGCTGCCCAGGAACAGCAGTAACTTTGAGAGCATCCCTTCCATCGTGCTTGTGGGTTTTCTGGCCTCAAATTTGATTATTTTGTGAACGGAGGAGCAGCCACGTAGTTGTCGAGTTGTTCGCGAAATGGTGTGACCGTTGTGCTGCGGTATGAGAATATCGCCACAAGCCCGGCAGTAAGCTGGTATTTTTCCCTGAAGTCCCAGCTGATCTTACTTATTTAACCAAACTGTCCTACAAATTGCTTTGAAAATTAAAAATATTTTAAATACAAATAAAAAATAATTTAAATTTAAGTTAAAAATGTATATTTAATATTTTTTAAAAGCATTATTTTACTGAACAAACAAAGTATTTATTTGAAAAGCTAACAAAGCCAGCTTAAGACACATCAATTATTGTTGGAAATCAAGCAAATATATATAAAATATACCATTTAAATTAATTAAATTCAAATTTTGTTTAAATTTAAAATAAAATTAATCTGTAATCTATATATTTGGTACCGTTTTAGGTACAAGTTCACCCACCGTACCTAATGCCCGACCGTATAACAGTTAGAAAGCTTAGTGTGGCCACATATTGGGTTATTTTGTTATAACGGTCAAGCCGCGGTCACACTCGGTGAATTTTTTTGCAAAACTTTTGTTTCTTTTTCCCTCAAAAGAAATTCGTGGCAAGCTGAGTGTTCCCGGCCCTTCCACGCTGAGATTAAGGACTCCAGGCAGCAGGCAGCCAGCAGCGGATTGCAGGTTTCAAGGGGGACGACGCCACCGTGTGCCAGCTCAGTGTCCAGGTTCTTGCACGCCCACGCAGGCCAAGGAAGAGGAAGACATAGCAGCAGCAGCAGCAGCAGGAGGAGGAGGAGTAGAAGGAGAAGCAGAGGAGCAGCAGGTCAAGTGGGGAAAGTGGGAGAGTTGTAAAGATGCAGCAGAACGCGGCCAGCAACCCCTTCGCCATGTCCTCCTACGTGGAGCGGCCGCAGATGGGCCTGGATGTGGAGTTTGGCGCAGATCCAGCCAGCGGTGCAGCCTTCTTCCAGAGCGACGGACGCAAGCACGATGACCTCAAGCAGATGCTGGACAGCAACAAGGATGGCCTCAAGCTGGAGGCCATGAAGCGCATCATTGGGATGATTGCCCGCGGACGCGATGCCAGCGATCTGTTTCCCGCCGTGGTCAAGAACGTGGTGTCCAAGAATATCGAGGTGAAGAAGCTGGTGTATGTGTACCTGGTGCGCTATGCCGAGGAGCAGCAGGATTTGGCCCTGCTCTCCATCTCCACGTTCCAGCGTGCGCTCAAGGATCCCAATCAATTGATCCGGGCCTCGGCACTGCGTGTCCTCTCCTCCATCCGGGTAAGCATGATTGTGCCCATCGTGATGCTGGCCATACGGGACAGTGCCGCCGATCTGAGTCCCTATGTGCGCAAGACGGCGGCACATGCCATCCCGAAGCTGTACTCCCTGGACGCGGAGCAGAAGGATGAGCTGGTGATGGTGATTGAGAAGCTGCTGTCGGATCGCACCACTCTGGTGGTGGGCTCGGCCGTGATGGCCTTCGATGAGGTCTGCCCGGAGCGGGTGGATTTGATACACAAGAACTACCGGAAGCTGTGCAACCTCCTGGTGGATGTGGACGAGTGGGGCCAGGTGATAATCATCAATATGCTCACCCGCTATGCGCGCACCCAATTTGTGGATCCCAATGCGGATGATGACCTGGCGGATGGCGTTCTCAGCGATGGCCCCACCAATCAGCGTTTTTACGACGAATCCTCCACGGCCTCCAACAGCGATGAGGCCACCAGCGAGGAGGATGAGGAGGCTAAGAACAAGTCGAGAACAAACCATGGTGGAGGTGGAGCCAACAACGGAGGCAGTGGAACTCCCAGTTCCCCGGCCAGCAGCTACCACATCGATGTGGATCATCGCCTGTTGTTGCGGCAAACGAAGCCTCTGCTGCAATCCCGCAACGCCTCCGTGGTGATGGCCGTGGCCCAGCTGTACCATCATGTGGCGCCCAAAAACGAGGTGCAGCTGATAGCCAAGGCCCTCATCCGGCTGCTGCGCTCGCACAAGGAGGTGCAGAGCGTGGTGCTCAACTGCATTGCCTCGATGTCCACCAAACGGAAGGGGATCTTTGAGCCGCATCTCAAGTCCTTTTTTGTGCGGACCAGCGATCCGACGCACCTGAAGCTCCTCAAGCTGGACATCCTCACCAATCTGGCCTCGGCGGCTAGCATATCTCTGATTCTGCGCGAGTTCCAGACGTACATTTCCAGCAGCGATCGTTCCTTTGTGGCGGCCACCATTCAGGCTATAGGACGCTGTGCCTCCAGCATAAAGGAGGTCACGGAGACCTGTCTCAGCGGGCTGGTGCACCTGCTCTCCAATCATGATGGTAAGAGCTAGTTAAGCCCCTTTCCTCAGCTTAGTTAATCCCCTGACTTTTCCCCCCTTTGCAGAGCACGTGGTGGCCGAGAGCGTGGTGGTGATCAAGCGCCTCCTGCAGACCAAGGCCGCCGAGCACTTTGAGATTATCACCCAAATGGCCAAGTTGATTGATTATATCAATGTACCCGCCGCCCGGGCGGCCATCATTTGGCTTATAGGTGAATACAACGAGAAGGTGCCACTCATAGCACCCGATGTGCTCCGTAAGATGGCCAAATCCTTTGTGGACGAACAGGATGCAGTGAAGCTGCAGGTCCTGAATCTGGGCGTCAAGTTATACCTGACCAATCCCCAGCAGACGTCGCTGCTCTGCCAGTATGTGTTCACGCTGGCCCGCTACGACCCGAACTATGATGTCCGCGATCGTGCCCGCTTCCTGCGCCAGATCATCTTCCCGGCCAGCGGTAGCAACTCGGTGCTGAGCCAGCATGCCCGCCAGGTGTTTCTGGCCAGCAAGCCGGCTCCCAAGCCGGAGAGCAAGTACCGGGATGGTAATAACTTCCAGTTGGGTTCGCTTTCCCACTACCTGAACATGCCGGCTTCGGGTTACAAGGAACTGCCAGCCTTTCCGGTTATTCCACCGGACTCTAGCGTGCGGAATATTCCTGGTTTCATGCAGGAAAAGCTGCCTGGCGAGGAATCACCCACCTCGAAGGCGGCCACGGGCATGGGAGGTAGTGGAAAGGTCAAGGATTCCAATCGCGAAAAGGGCTTCCTCTCCGAGTCCGAGGACAAGTCATCGGCGTACTCCGAATCTGGCAGCAGCAGCAGCAGCGGCACCAGCGACAGTGAGTCGGATAGCGAGGACAGCGGCAGCAGCAATGCAGAGGAGGAGGGGGAGAAGGAGCAGGAGGAGAAACAAGCAAAGGCACCTGCTAAAGTGGAGGATCAGCTCATTGATGCCACAGTGAAGGAGACGGAGAAGGAGAAGGAGACGGAAGCCACTGCCTTGCCCAACAATAATAGCAACAGCAAGGCGTCGCCGGCAGCAGGTTCTTCCGGCTCCTCCGACTCGGGTGATTCCTCATCCTACAGCGGCAGTAGCAGCAGCGATAGCGAAGACTCTGCCGCAGAGGAAGCTCAAACCAAGGAGCAAAAGAAGAAGAACCAGGAAAACCCACAAAAGGAGGGTTCTGCCTCCAAGAGCAATCTGGATTTGCTCCTGGATCTAGATGACATTCCGCCCATAGGACCTGTGATGACGCCCTCGCTAGGAGGATTCCTGACGCCCGGTAAGCATCCAAAACACCTCATCAAACCCTTCCTTTTGAAGCTCATTAGGCTCTCCTCCCCCACAGGCACCCCACTTGTAGCTGGCCAGGCTGCTCCTCTCCAGCCCCAGCATGCTCGCAATCGCTTGGAACTGGTGGGACCCTCGCACATCGAATTCAAGCACAAGGAGCTGCTCAACAAGGTGAGCGGCCATGGCCTCCATTTGGGCTATCGCTTCACCCGCTCGCCGCATCTCTACTCCTCCAGCATGTGCTCCATTGAGCTGCAATTCCAGAATCGTGGCGATAAGGAGATCACGGGCATACACTTGGGACAGACCACCCTCCCAGCGGGCATGCATCTCAATGAGTTTCCTCCAGTCACCGTTTTGCAGGCTCAGCAAACGGCCAGCGGTGTTTTGGGACTGGACTTTAATGATTCCACGCATTCCGTTGACCTGGAGCTCGTCTCCAGTGCGGGTAGCTCGAGGTTGCAACTTAAACCGCCTGTAGGAGAGCTAGTGCGCTCTGTCCAGATTGGCGAGAGCTGTCATCGCGAGGAGCGGGCCAAGTTGAGGGGCATGAACGAGCACCAGTGCGAGTTGCGCGGCTTGAGGCGCGACCTTATCGATGTGTCCGCCCTGCGCCAGAAGGTCTTCGAGTGCATCAATGTGGCGCATACCCACAGCTCCGCCAATGGCCAGTTGCATTGCTTTGCCGGGCAGACTTTAAGCTCCAAGAGTTTAGTCCTGCTCACCCTCCACTGGCAGACGGAGGAGGCCCTCACGCTGCTGGTCAACTGCGAGAAGATGGTCATTGGTTCCATGGTGCTGAACGAGCTGAGGAATGCCCTGCAGCTGAGCTTTGCCATGTGAGCGATGCGCTAAAAGGAGCGAGAGGGCACTACGTAAACCTTCATATTTTTAGCCACACTTTATACTGTAAGGGGTGGAGCGGGAGCAAAGGTAATCTCTGGCAGATCAGGGGAATCCCTGGGATACCCTGCGTACATTTTTAACTCAACAAACAAGGTGCAATCTTTCAAAGCAAATAGGAAAATACCTTCTTTTTTTTTGGCAATATTTGAATTCAATTCATTTGCAAAACAAAATAAGAAAATTCCTGAAACAAGTTAAAAACTAAAAACAGGATTTAATATTTTTCTAGCTTTTTTTAAATTTAAATTTTTAAATTTTACACCCAAACAGAATTCAATTTTTAACTTGGCGTTTTTCTAGGGTTTTTTAAATTGTTTAATAATTATAATACAAATTCTCCATTTTAAAAATTTTAATTTTTAAATTTTAAACTAAAAACTGGATCTTAATACTAAATTTTTTATGCTTTGGAATTTTTATAATATTTTTAAAATCTATATTTTTAAATTCTTTAATTTAACATTCTTTTAATTTAACATTTTGAAATTCACTTTTTAATTTAAAAGTTTAAAATTTTAAATTTTAATAAAAAAAACCTAGATTTAAATTAAAATTAAATTTTAATTTTAAAATTTTAAACTTTTTAAATTGAAATTAAATTAAAATTTTTTAAATTTCAAACTCAAAACAGGATTAAATATTGAATTAGATTTTATGCTCTTGGATTTTTCTAGTTTTTCTTTTTTTTTTATTTAAATTTTAAACTCAAAACAAAATTTTTAAATTTTTAAAATAATATTTAATAATTTAGCAATATTTATATATTTTTTTAAATCCCCCAGAGATTATTTTTGCCACCCCATGGACCCTGCTGCATCCATGATTCTAAGGCTTTTACTATTCCTATATACACAAAAAACCATAAAAAACAAAACACCAAACCAGAAATCTCTTAATGATTCCATGCAAAACTGTTGCCAATCCAATCCCAGCCAGCCTCCACATCGATCAATCCTTCCTAGTTAGCTATATGCGTGCGTGTCAGTGTGTTTGGGTAATCGAAACGTATTTGTAAAGTGTTTGATGTTGTAAATCTGTTGCCTTCGTGTGCTCTATGCGGCCTTCTTCAAATCGTAGCAAAGACAAACGAATATCGAATCTATATATATATATATATATTATACTATATTCATACAAGACAAGAACGTAATAATAATAATGATGAATATGAACAAAAATACCGAAAATGTTAATGCATTCTCAAAAGGGAAGAAGTGAAGAAGATCCTTGATTTGAGTTGACACTGAAAATAAAGCTTACATTTTAAAGAAAACGCATTTATGTTTCACTCATTTCGCAGGAAAAGGCCAGGAAATCACTTTTGAGACTGGTAAAAATTCTCTGGGAGCTTCTAGAATAATTTTAAGCATCTGAAACTTTGGGAATTAAATTTAAACAAATTTGATTTTTTTTTTATGTTGTTTGAAGTTTGTTGATTAATTTGTTAAATTTCATGTAGGGTTTTTTTTTGTTGTTCTTCTTCATAATATAACTCCAATACCGTTTTGACGAAATGCTAAAGGGCCCCTATGAAGGCCGCGTCTTTGAAACAGATCGCCAGGTATTTTCTGGATGTTTCAATCTGCTCGAGTAGCTCACCAGTAGGTGGGTTGATAAGCACCGCCTGCTCTAAGTAAGACATTGGAGATATTGACCAATTTCTCGGTGTTGAGCTCCTGCTTGTGTAGTAAATAAGTAAAAAAGACTTTATTTTTGTGTAATTTTTCAATTATTTTGATGTTTATTCACGCTTTTGTTCTTCTTACTTTCTCCACTCACCGAAAACTGAATATAAGAAGTCCAGCAACAGCAACAGGTGTTTTGTATATTTTTTAAAATTTTCTCTGACCCTGAATAGTATTTATTTATGTTTTTTACAGGATTTCTACACTATTGTTGCTGTTGCCTTAAATTTGGGGACATTTAAATTAAATGAATAGAAAGGGTTACATGAAACATACAAAACTCATTCTCAAATCCCAAGCTGCTCTCTCTGTGGGTAGGTGTTGGTGTAGTTGTTGGTGCAGGTGTTGGTGTAGGTGTGTGTGTTGGTGTGCTTTCTATAATCTTTGGGTTTTCTGCACAATTTAAAAAGCTCAATTTTTTTTGGTTTATGCTTATCATATAAACGAGTTAGTTTAGATCGCTAGGTTAGTTAATTGGTTTAGTTTTAGTTTTGGATTCGCTGCTGCTGCACTCTGGCTTGGCTTTGATTCAAGTTAGTTAGTTAGTAGTTGTAGTTAAAGTGGGTTAGGCTAGGCTTTAATTAAGATATCAACTGCTGGAAATATTGGGGGCGGGGGCGGTACATACATATAGGTGATAAAACGGGGGGTGAGATGGCGTGAGATGTGTGTAGTAGAGGGACTACAAGGCGGATGAGTAATAATTTTTCGTAGGCATTTTTTTGTAGATAGCATGTATGTTTTGTATATGTATGTATATGACTTATGTATGGTAAATGGTAAATGGTATATGGTATATGGTATATGGTATATGGGTTCGTGAATAGTTTTGACATAGGCATAGAGATTTCTTGTATATAAGTAGTGTCTTGGGGGTAGTATCATCGTTCTCTCCTACTGCTCCTCCTGTATATACTCTTTATATAATATATGCCTTTCTTCCTTCGCTTAACTTCATATAAAACTAGTTGTTTTTTTATGTTTATATTCTTTTTTTTTAGTTTTTCTTCTTTTTTTTTTTTTTAAATGTATATCGATTTATGCAGTATGTGTGTATGTCTAAGGATGATTTTCAATCACTTATTGTTACGTACGGTGTTTGGTATAACATGCTTCGCTTGGACTAGCTAGCTCGATGGCCTTCTACCTCATCCTTCTGCACTCCTCCATTTGTCTACCCTTCTGTTTTCCTTCTTCTAATCCTTCAAATCCTTCTCATCGAATCTCTTACTTCAATAACATATAAAGCATTTGGTTTTTGGTTTTTAGTTTTGTGTTTTTTTTTTTTTCGTTTATCGCTTAACGATTCGCCCGTTTCAGCAATCGATAACTGTCGATAGCTTGACGATAGGCGGCGAAGCGTTGCATTGAGCGGAGCGGAAATGGGGCCTAAAACGGACGGATTGGTGCCGTTAGTTAGTCCAACGGTCTACCATTCGATGCCTGCTGTTGTTAGTGTTTTAGTTTAAGTTTTAGTTTCTCACCTTCTCCTTCTCCCTCTTTTTCTTTTGCTCTTCGGTTTTTTTTTTTGGTTTTGTTATCGTTTAGTTATCGTTATGCTTTAAGTATTAGCCTGAGGTGCTCCGAATCGAGATCAGTTGTGAGTTCTAGAGCAACTAACCTAGTTATATATCCTTTTCTTTCTGTTTCTTTTTCCTTTGTGTTTTGTGTCTGTGTGTACATCTTTTTCTTTCCTCTTTTCTTTTTTTTATTTTTATTTTTTTGATTACTTTGTTATTATGCTGTTATATATGCAATATATATATAGCTCTGGGCACACTGTTATTCACCGTTATTTGCTTCTGTGCCTTGCCTGATGCGTGTTTGTGTGTGTCAGTGTGTGAGTTTGTGTGGCCATATATCCTTTTTTTTTTGTTTTAGAAATAGTCCAGTAGCACCGGGTATTATTCGTTATCTCTTTTCTTTTTGTTTGTTTCTTTCTTTTTGCTTTCTGCTTCTAGTTGGACTTTGCTTAGTGATTTAAACTGCAGCTCCGTCTAAGGCCGCGTGCTTAGAGCTTCTTGTACCAGTACAGATAGTGCTCGCCATCCTCGACCATTAGCTCGTCCACACCTAAATATAACATTTTTATAAATTTTAAAAACATCCTACGAGAAGAGCCTTCTTTGGGCTAAGGTGGACTTACCAACAGGCGCAATAAGCTGATTCCCGGGCGTGTTATTGGGATCGGGCAGCTCCGGCAGCCGATAGAGTAGCCAGTAGTGATACCTAACCAAGTGATTACTCCATTATTAACCAGGTTTAAGTTTAGGAAATTCTCCAAGAACTACTCACCCTCGCGGCTCCTCCTTCTTGCCATACAAAGTGTGGACATAGTGGCCATTGGGCCATTCCCGAGCCTCGAAGATGAATCTATTAAGGAAAAGCCAAGTCCAGTTAGTTTTTGGAAGGTAAAGGAGATTTCTTTTGTAGACCCACCTGGGATCCATTTCGGCCGCCTGGGTCATGGCCTTGAAAAAGCTGGTGTTCTTGGGCGAGACGAGGGACAGGGAGAAGGCCTCGGTGACATTAGAGCCCACCCAGAGTGTGTACGTGTAGGAGATGTTCTTGGCATCCGATTCCTCGGCAGAGGAGCTCAAACCGAAGGGCACTGCCAGCTTGGGTTCACCATTCTCTGTCAGAAAAAAAAATATTTAAAAAATATATATGTTAAATGTTAAAATAAAGTCAGAAACTCACCCGTGGGATCACTGCTCTCTCGTATCACATGGTCGCATTGCAGCGCCCTTACTGCACCCAATCCCTTCCAGCCCAAAGCCAGGATAATATCTGCCGTCAGGCCCACTCCTATATCCGGCTCCTGGCCATCCTGCAGCGGCTCCTCGCTCCAGCCGCCGTCTGCCCGCTGCCGGCTTAGGATATACCGCGAGGCGGCAGTGCGATTCCAATGGCCAGCAGGGTCATATTCCAGATCCTGCAGAGCCTGCATGGCCAAAGCCGTGCTGCGCAGTGAACCAAAGCTACCGCGCTGATCCTGCAGGCTGGCCAAGCCTCGGGCCGGCCGACGAACAAAGTGCTGCAAATGCCGGTGGCGGTGATCGGTGACAATGCAGCGCAGCGCCAGGATAACCATCGCAATGGCATCCACACTCTGATCCGTCACACCGCTGGCAATGTCCAGGAGTCGCCGGATTTGACGCTTCCTCACATGCGCCGCCGAGCTACAGGCCGAGAGCGTGGTCAGCGCAAACTCAATGTCCTGGGCCGGTTCGTGATGCTGCAGTGTGGCCACCAGATCGTGGCCATGGAAGTGCTTCGGGTCCTTGCACAGCGAACCCAAGGCCAGGACATAGCGGGCCAGCTTGTCCAGATCCAGGGGCTTGGGCAGCGTATGATGGCGATCCAGCATGGCCAGTATTTCGATTTCCATCTCCTTCACCGACAGCGTATCCTCCAGCTCCTGGATCACCTGCACATGCCCATCGACACTGTCGTTGGGATCCCTGCCGCCGGACAGCTCCTTGGCCAGGATAACCACATGGGTGTCATTGCCCCAGCCATAGTCCGAGGCTCGTTTCTCCTTCAGCCAGTCGAGGGCTCGCAGGATTGCCTCCTGTTCGCCTTTAGTTGGCGGTGCCTGGCCAATGGTCTGATGCTCTGGCGGCGTGCTGCCATTGATGGCCGTGGGCGTGGCCAGGACCAGGCCATCCTGGTTGTCAGCCCCGGCTCCTGCCAATACAGCTGTGCTGGAGATGGGATTGCTGCTGCTGTTGCTCAAAGAGCTGGAGCTGGAGCTGGATTGGCTCATGTTGCTGCTGCTGCTTGTGATCTGCTCATCGCTGGCCTCGTTGTTGTAGGATGTCCCTAGGCTGCCTAGGTTATTAGGTTGGCTGCTTCCATTACTGTTGCTGCTAATGCTGCTCCCCTGGGAGCTGCTGGGGTTGTCGTAGTCGCCCAGCGGCTTCTCCGGCACCGAGGACATAGTGCTGTCGGTAATGGGCGCCGCTGCCGATGACGAGGACGAGGGCAGCGCCGCCAGCGTCACATTCTCGGCCGGAGGCAAGGAGGAGGAGGATCGATCTGCTCCAGAAATGTCTGAGCCAAAGAAGAACAAAAGAAGCAGCAGGAAAAGCGACGGAGGCGATGGCAGCGATGACAGCGACAACATCCTGGCCGGAGTTCTGGAATAAAAAAAGGTAAGGGTTTTAATTTAATCGAAAATATTGATTTGATATGGTAATAGTTATCGGAGTTAGAGGAACCTTTAAAGACTGGTCACCTTTTATAAGAAAACTGATGTAGGGGTAAGTATTGTATTCAATGTATAATGATTAATATCAAGTAAAGACTGTTAACTTGAATTTAAAAGAATACTTTGATCGATTTATAATCGATTTGACATGCAATTTTTATCGGCTTACTGAGTCCTTGTTGCGTGGTTGCGCAGGATGCAAAGGATGAGCACGCAAGGAGGAGACATTTTACAAGAGGCGTTGCCTTGAACTGAATTTGCGGCTCAGCTTGGCTCAGCTCAGCTCACGTCATGCAACTTATCGATAATTGCGATCGATATGCGACAAGCGCCGACAACAGAACATCCTGCGTCCAACCCCCACAAAGGTCCTTAAAAGCCACCCCACCCACTCGACGACAGCCGCCACACTTAGTCATCAAATCAAATAAATGCAACAGCAACAAAGATTCCGTGTCCGTGTCCGTGTCCTGCTGTTGCTGTTGCTTTAGTGTTGGGGTAGTTCCTGCGGACGGCTGGAGGGTGGGGGCGTGGCAGGACCCGTTCAATTGCCTTTGACAATATGGACTTCATTGCGGGGACACAACACAAACAACACACACTCGTCCGGGGGGGAACTTACATAATAATAATACGGGCGACAACAAAGCTCCAGCTGCCGCAAAAGGATATCGTCCTGGAGAGTCGCTCTCTCTATATATCACTATTTTTAATATATATATATCACTATATATAAACGCCGATGTGCGTAAGCTTTTCGCTGTGTCTTTGTTCGATTTTGCAAGCAATTAATTTCGTTTTGAGTTTCAGGACACACACACACAAAACCGGATGTCCTGGACTTGATTTCTGGCAAATCCTTTGCTTTTTGGCCAGCTTTTTTTAAGGAGCTAAACTGTGCAAACTTTGTGTGGTTTTTTATCCTTTTTTTCTTATTTTTTTTGGGTAATTTTTGCGACGGCGACGACGAGGACGACGACGGTCGAAACGGGGAAAACGTGACTGGGCTCGGGGAGTTGCCACTGCTTAGGGAACAGGTGAGGCCCAGGATATGTGCGACGGCTGGCAACGCTCTGAATTGGATTTTGTATTCGGTTTGCGGCTTGGCTAGGAGAAAATGTTCGATTGCTACGTCAGATGGCGATTTTGTGCTGCCAAAAACAGGTTTGTTATGTGTTTGAATTTTGAGCGGGATTTGCTGATTTTAGAGAATTAAAATAAATAAAATTAAATACAATTAAATAAAATTAAATAAAATTAAATAACATAAAATTAAATAATATTAAATTAAATTTAATTTAATTTAATATTTTTAAATTTAAAGTAAAATGTAATACAGGTAAATAAAATTATTTAAAATTAAATAAAGTTAAATACAATTAAAAAAAAATTAAATTAAAATTTTAAATAATATATATATTAAGCAAAAATATTAAGCAACAACTTATAAAGAAATGGAAATACCCAAAAACATTTGATTTTGCCTTGTTTTAAATTTCTTAAAAATATAAATATATGTATGTATATATATTTATACAAATATACATATGTATATCTTATTATTTATATATATTTATATATGTATATATCTGTTTCTGCCCTGGGATTGAGGGTGACATGTTGTCCATCTGATGGTGAGGTAGCCAGCCAGCCAGTGAGAGCGATTCCCCCTGGCCTAGCTGGAAAATATGTAATCCGATATAGTTATGTTTCGGCCGCAAAAGCCGACAATCACAAATGCCGACGACCGACGACCGCCAACTGGTCGCCGCTCCAGCTCTCCTCTGTTATCCTGATTCCTGATTCCTGATCCGACTCCGACTCCGACTCCCGATGATTGCCTATCGTTTTCGCGAGCAATTAAAAGAACAAGCATCCGTATCGGTTACCTTTTCAGCTCAAATGAAACCTATATGGGGAATTCGAAGCTGAATTTGGATTTGAATTGGGAGGTGGAGGATGAGGAGGTGGAGGAGGAGGAGGAACAGGAGGAGCAGGAGCAGCGGCAGCGAACAAAGGAAGGAAGTCCGCGAGTCCTGCGACGAACCCATTGTGCAGTTATGACAGGCGTCCCCCTTGTTGTGCCTGCCCAGATTTCTGTCAGGACACAGGGTCGAGGAAAAAGGTTAGCACAGCGGTGATAAATTTTACCTAAAAACCTGAGATTTTAGGCAATGCAAGAGAAGAGTTTAAAGGGGAACTTTCTTTTTCTTTCTTTTAAATTTTATTTACAAATTAAAAATAATATTTTAATTTATATTTTTAAATATTTAGGACAGGATTTCCTTATATTTTCTTATATATTTTATTTAGAAATTAAAATAAATATATTTTAAGGAGCCAGAAGATAGTGAAGTTTCTTTTTAAATATTTTTAAATATTTTAAAATATTTTATAGTATATAAATATAGTATATAAATTATATATAGTATATAATATATAGTAAACATTGATTTTTCTCCTTGGGTGTGTGCTCCATTCTGAAGTCGGCCACTTCAAAGCCGCGGGCCCAGAGCTTTTGTCAAATTATTCGGACGGCTGACGGTCTGCTCGTCTCTACTTACTCCTCACTCCCTAATCCACACTCCCTATACCCTATAACCCACTCCTTCCCCTCCTTACTCCTTTTTCCCTTAACCTAACCCGCATACCCTAAAACCCAAAAACTTCGGCGGGATCCCCTGGCGAGCGGGCGGGCGACTTTCTGAATGAGCGACAGCTGGCGCAACACCTTCCGCCGATGCCCTTTCGTAGGTAGAGGAGGAGCAGGAGTAGGATCAGTAGGTCGCTGCCTCGTCCCACGCACAATTGGCTCTTAGTTCTGTAATCCCTAGACAACTCTTTCGTGTTTTTTCCCAACTATCTAAAAGCGGCAATCGCAGGCTACTTAGCTTCTCGGCTTAGTTTTAATCGCCAAATGGAAGATGCCAAAACCTAAATGTTCGATTCGGGATTGTTTCCTTAACAATTGTCTGTTTCCGCCGCCGCCGCAGGACTCAAGGAGGCTGCACCTTCCAGCGTTTGCTTATCAAGGTCCTGGGATCTCTCCACCAAAAAAAGAAAAAATAAAAGGAAATTAAGGATTCAAAAGCAAGGCGAGGGAGGGATCCCTGCGCAATATTTGGCAACCCAATTACTTTGTTTGCTTAGCCGACAAATTGTTTATTCAAGAGGATCCTGCAATCCAGCGATCCTTTGCCCCCGAAACAATAGACCCATACAGCCTTGAGCTATTATCCTTCGAACTTTACGTTTTTGCGCAATCGAAACAATTGTTGTTTTCCAGGGGCGCACATCTAGATCGCGATGGGAATGGAAATGTAAAAGGAAAAGCGGCAGTTGTAATTGCAATTGAACCGAAATAGACAGTAGGATAAATAGGCGCTGATAAAAAAAAAAGAAAAAGAGGAGAGCCTGGTAACCGGGAGGGAATCTGCAATGGAAAAACCCAACAAAAATAAAGGAATATACACGCTTCATTTGAATGGATTACACCCTGCGCGGCTTGCCTCTGATATATTATATATGTTTTTTCTATTGTTTTGTTTGCTTAAATAATCTTATATGAAAGTGGATGTATATAGGGTTTATATAGAAGGGTGCTATTTCAAAATTAGTCAAGGGTTTTCGATTATTTTTCATGTCTAAAAGGTTCCTGTTCCTTTTTACTTTTCTTGAACTGTTGAGAAATTTGTATAGAACAAGTTTTAGTCTCTTTCCATTATTATTATTATTTTTAATATTTTCAAAATAATATTAATAGTATTATATATATGGTAAGGGTATTATAACTTTTTATAGAATATTTTAGTTTACTAAATTTGCTCTTAAACTGTAATATTTCTTTATGGGAAATAAATTCCTTTAAAATTATCAAAAATTGTTGTTTCCTGAACTAGTTAGAAATTTGTAAAAAAAGAGTTTTAGCCTTTTTCTTTTTAATCTACATTTTTTATATAAATAAAAAGATTATTATTATTTATTATAGTTTATAATAGTTTACTAAAGTTCTTTAAAATTAAAAATTCCTTTATTTTAAGCACAACTGTTGAATAAAATTGTTTGAATTCTGTTTTAAAAACTCACTCAATTTTATTTTTACCAACTTGTCCAAGTTTAAAAAATGTACATAATAAATATATTAAAAGAAATTTAAAACTTTAACTTTTAAGTTTATATATTTTACATAATAAATACATTAAAAATAATAAAATTTCTAAATCTTGTTACCAAAAATATGACTCAATTCCTTGTTCGTTTCCTTTATTTTTGATTAAACCCCCCCCAAAAATTGTGGTATTTGCTTTCAATTGTTCGCACTCGCAAGTGAATTTCCCCAGAGAGGCTTGGAAGTGGTTTTCCCTAAAGAATTTGCGTCACCATGACGCTAGCGGAAGCATTTTCCAAGGCTGCTTTTCCACCTGACGAAAGACGAACGGACGGTGGGGGAAATCTCATTAAATGAAATCCGATGATTCCGCCGATTCCACATCCAGCTGACCCATCAATAGACCACTGCATCAACTTTATTTACGTGCCAGGAGGAGATAGAAAGAGGTAGCAAGAGAAAGAGAGAGAGACAGTCAGAGAGAGGAGGGGGTAAAGTGGAAAAGTTCAAAGGGAAAACTGGTGGAAAGCCAGGCGACCGTTTCTTATATTTCAACTTCTTTTTCTACGTATTTTTTTTTGGCAGGATAAAACCCGGACACGAACATGGACACGGACACGGTCATGGATATGGCTATGGCTAGGTGGGTAGGTGGCCAGGACCAGAAGGGGCAGAAGGCCTTTTTTGGGTTGTCATAGCAACGCAGCTAACGCGTCACTTTACGTGTCGAATCCGGGTGTTGGCAGCCATATTTGCTCTTATAGCGCTTTACTTTGCCTCGCTTTTTGCCATCGAAACGGAAGAACCCTCCCCTGTACTATATACCCCATGAACATATATATATATATATAAATATATATAGGTATATATGTATAGGTACAGCAACCCCCTACATGTACCGTGTACATCCTGGCTGGGCGTTTTGTGTCTGTGTCTCCTGGGGTGGTGGCTAAGGACCTCCCCCTTGACTGCTCCGGCTGTCCTCTGACTCATTTGGCCACGGATGAGGAGGCCATGGAGGTCCAGGAATTTGACACACTGGGGGAAAAGGAGTAGGGATATCCAAATGTGATTCAGGATATCTGAGTTAGTGCTAAATAGTTACATTTTCAACGATTTTTTTAATGTTTTTAGGAGTTTTCTAGAGTTTCTAATAGTTTTCTTTGATTTTTCATGACTTTTCATTGATTTAAATGTTTGTTATCGATGTATTTTTTATAGAGTTTTATATATTTTTGGATTTTTTTATTTATTTTTATAGATTTTTACAGGTTTTTTAAAATTTTTATTATATTTTTGGGTTTCTATTGATTTTCTTTAATGTTCATAGATTTTTCATAAGATTTTTTCCCTGTGCACCAGCCTCCATCGGCAAAGTCGCTCTTTTTTGGGTGTCCTGTCATCTGCTGTCCTGTCGCCCCGGGTCCCTAGCACCTGCTCCTGCTCCTGCTGTTGCTCCTGCTCCTGCTCTTGTTCCAGCTTCAGCTCCTGCTCCTGCTCCTGCTTCAGGTGTTGTTGTGCTCACCTGTCCGCAGCTCCTGTCCCCTCGCCCCTTTGTCATATATTTGCGAGTCCTTTATCTTTTTTCTTTTTCCTTATTTTTTTTTTGGTTTTTGGGAAAAGCTTTGACACAGGGCCTCCTGTACATGGGGGGTAGCCTTATGTACGCCAGCTGGATGATATGGTGTCCCGGTGTCCCGGTGTCACGGTGTCCTGGCACTGTCCCCCATGCCACACGACATGGCCGTGTCCTTGTTGTCCTTGCTGGCGCCGTTGTTGTCCTGCTCCGGCGACAGGTTTTTCCTCCTATCTATTTGTGTTTGTTTGCCTTTGCCATTGCCAGTGCCTGGTCCATTTTCCATTTCTCTTATTTCG